TTGGGGGCCAGTATATATATTGTACACAGTATAGTGTAGTATTTAATATATAGTATAAAGGCTATGAAGTAGCCTTTATAGAACAGGGGCCCATAAATTGATGGCCGGGACCCTCCCACAAACCTTGTAAACAAAACCAAGAAACCTCAGAATTATTATGAAAGCACAAAAGTGTTACATTATTCAGAGCACTATCGTGCTTAAGCATCAAAGAGATAAAATTTAGCTTCTTCCCTATATTACTACCTACATGACCATTCAAAAAGAAATACAGCGATTAGCTCAAGCCCTATGTTTTAAAAATTGTTTATAGCTGTAACAGCTTGTTGTTTTCTCCTTTATTGTAAGGGCTGGATCTGACAAGACAGGAAGCATAGGGGGCTGAGATAGGATGGGGTCATTATAAAATACAATGCAGGGGCTCTTTGCATCCAAGACTCAGAAACAAGCATCAAGAAATCCATTAAAACACAAAGACAGGAGAAAAAGACCTAAGATTAAAAACCCTTGGGTTATTTTAAATAGAGGGTTTGATTCTACAATAGCTAGTAATAGTAATAGTAGTAAAGTTGGAAGGGACCTTGGAGATCATCTAGTCCAACCCAAATGGCTGTCCAGTCTCTTCTTAAAAACTTCCAGTGTTGGAGCATTTACTGCTTCTGGAGGCAGGCTGTTTCACTGATTAATTGTTCTCACTGTCAGGAAGTTTCTCCTTAGTTCTAGATTGCTTCTCTCCTTGATTAGTTTCCACCTGATCTGATAATGAAGCTGATCTTCATTATTAAAGCTACTTGTATCTGCCAGAAACATAGCATGTCTATCTAATGCTTTTGACTCTTCTGCTTTAGTCTGTGGGTGATGATCGAGTTTCCAGAGAAAGATTTACTATTGGGCCCTGAGTCATCCTGAAAACAAAGACATTTTAATATACTTTGCCAAACAGTATTATTTACATACATAAAATTTATAAGCCCACCATCACAAATTAATTACTTGAAAATGAATTTTAAAAAATTATTTTAAAGATTTCCAGAGTTCAAATGTCCTAAACATGGTACTATAACAACAACAACTTTTCACCAACCAGTAGTGTTGAAATGATCTATAAGAAATATAGGCAAACCTCATAATAGCATAGAAAGACTTTTGAAAAGCAGCAGAAAGGTCAGGATATGTAAATTGAATTGAATCCTTTATTTAGCCAAGTGTGATTAGACCAGGGGTTCTCAACCTTGGCAACTTTAAGACTTGTGGACTTCAACTCCCAGAATTCCTCAGCCAGCAAAGCTGGCTGAGGAATTCTGGGAGTTGAAGTCCACAAGTCTTAAAGTTGCCAAGGTTGAGAACCCCTGGATTAGACACACAAGGAATTTGCCTCCGCAGAAGCTCTCAGTGTACATGCAAAGCAATAGAATAATGATAATCATGATAATCATAATAATACCAATAAGAGGGGGGGAAATAAAGATAAATAATGATATTACAGCCATACTATATGGATAAATAAACATAGACATCAGAGAGCACTGTGAGAATTAGGTGTTCAGGACAGTGATGGCATGAGGGAAAAAACTGTCCCTATGTTTAGTTATTTTGGCCTGCAGTGCCCTATAGTGCCGTCCCAAGGGAGGAGTTGAAACAGCTTATGTCCAGGATGTGAGGGGTCTGTAGAGGTCTTATCAGCCCTCTTTCTGACCAGTGTAATGTACTGGTCTTCTATGGAAGGCAGGCAGGTTGCAGTTGTTCTTTCTGCAATCTTAATTATCCATTAACCAGACAGTTACAGAAGAACAAATGACAGACAGCTCCTGGGGCAGTCTGAATTTCCGTAATATTTTTTTATGCCTTTTAAATGATGTGTCCATGTGAGATGAATCAGTTTAGAGTGAAGAATTTCTGGAATGATGGTATTGAACGCTGAGCTGAAATCTACAAAAAGGCCCCATGTATAGATCTCTGGGGATTCAAGATGTTACAAGATGTAGTGTACTGCCATATTGACAGCATCATCTGCCGATCTAGTTAGGCAAACCGCAGGGGGTTTAACAGTGGATCCGTGATGACTTTCAGACGAGCCAGCACTAACCTCTCAAAGGTCTTCATAACTACAACTGGCCTATAGTCATTCAGCTCCCTGATGGAGGATTTCTTAGGAACCAGGATGATGATAGAATGTTTGAAGCAAGAAGAGACATAATATATCTCTAGTGATTAAAAGTTAAAAATCCGTGTGAAGATGCGGCCAGTTGTTCAGCATAGGCTTTTAAACAAGAAGGAGCTACTCCATCTCGGCCCGGTGCTTTTCTGATTTTTTTTTTGTCTATGAAATAGATAAAATGGCAAGATGGCAAAAGCTATTAAAGGTGTGAACATGTTCAAAGAAATTGGGCAAGGAAATGAAGTTGGGATTTCATACTGCTAACAGATTACCAAAGTGTCCTGTCAGATCCAGTCTTGGGTACTTGTCTTGAAGCCCTAGATAATTGTTAGACTGTCGGAATAAATTTTAGTAAAGTATTTCCATCCTCTATGCTTCAGGAAACATGTCAGCCTAAGATAATTTTTATCTGCAGAGGTCTCTCATGTCAGTGATATAATAAGAAACCTCCATAGATCACATTCTTTATTTTTAAAGAAAGGTAATCCTTCCATAACACAGTTGAAATATTCTTCTGGGTCTTGAGTTGTGATTGAGTATATTCAATTTTACCTGCCCACTTCTGCCCCACAATAATGATTTCTTAAACTTCCTTGAATTTTGATGAAAAAGATAGAAAGCGTGACATCATCTTACATTGGTGAGACTTCACACCCAATCCCCGGATAAGCACTGTCAGTCTTGTGTAGGTGTAAAACAGCAGGAGAAAGAGTGGATTCCTTTGGGATGTCTTGAAGTACTGTGGGGTTGAACAGCGAAGTGAAAGCCAGGAACTGAATTGCTTTTTAAAAGAGAAATATTTGTTATAAAAGTCACTGAGTTTTAAGAATCTGAATCTGAGTTTTAGAGTATCGAAGACTTCTCATGTGCTACAGTTCCCATATCAGCAGTTCTCACTTCAGACAGACATTTTTTTTTCTCTCTCACCTAGCCATTATCTTCCATTGCTCTGTCTTCCTTTTGAGGTGGGATGTTACAAAATATTAGGCCCCCTGGGAACCTCACTGCAGACGTACCCCCAAATATAATGCAAAGGAATTCCACTCTTCCACAAGGGTACTGGCATCAAAAGAGGAGCAGAAATAAGGAATTTCCATTCCACTGAAAGAAACAACAAATTAAATTGGATGACTTAATTGGTAGTCTGTTAGTCGGAAAAATTTTGCTAGGGAATATTTAAAGGGCATATCAGTGAATCATTAGTACTTGTAAAAGTAACAGCTTAATGACCACCACATTCTTGTGTAATGATGATTATTTCAGTGTACTTTTCAGATAAAATTTTTACTGGGTGACCATTTAACTGCATATAAATATTTTTAATGCATGTGTATCCCATGGTAACTACTTTTTTGTGATTGTAAATGTTAGCTTCTTGGGCTAAAATATGAAATACCAGTTATCTAAATTGCACTTCATTGATTCCTTATGTGCCATGAAGTCATTTCGATTTCTAGACAGATTCTCTCCATGACGATCTATCCATAACCTGTTCTTTCAAGTCTTCCAATAGGGCATTGCTGCTGGAACTGAATCCATCCACCATGCTGCTGGTCATCTTCTTCTCTTTCCTTCTACCTTTCCCAGCATTAGAGGCATTTCCAGAGTGCTGGGTCTTAGCATAATGTGTCCAAATAGGATAATTTGTGCCTTGAGTGAGAACTCATAGAGTCTTATGAACAAACTGGACAACAAACTGGATTAAACTGCAAATATAAACTTTTATGATAACAGAAGAAATAAATTATGCATGTGTGTATGTATGTACACGTTAAGTAATACTGTTAACAGTTCATTATTTTCAAATATGTGTGCAGATCTGGCAAATTTTAATGCAGTTGACTTAGAAAGTTATATTCTTATGCCTGTTTAATGGGTGATACAGTAAACAAATTAAAGCATGCCACAGCTTTGGACACAAAGATAAATAGATTCACCTCAGGGCATTGAACTTGTTTTCTTTATTTTAGCTCAAATTGTCTTGGGAGAGTTTATCCATGTTTGAAGTACATCTAAATACACTCAAAGGATGTGATGAGTGTTAATTTTGGGGAAAACTACTGTGGGAAAATATGCTGCTTTTTCATGAAAGACAGTGGAAGTCAGTGGAATGTTGATGATTAATGCTTTAAAAAAGTATTTTTCTTAGATTTAGAAAATGTTTCTGTGTTCACTTAACATTGATGTGTTTTTTAAAAGTATACAACCATCTTAGTATCTTACTTGCATGCCCATGTCTTTTCCATTGTTGCCTTCTGGAATGTTTTCCATGACTTATAGCCCTACAAAGATGTGGCTTTGTTACTGAGATTTGGGATCCTTGTCTGTAGTGGAGCCTGTTCAGTATATTTAATGTTGTGGAATGTTTCTGTAACTCAGATGTTGTTTATTTAATGGTTTTAATATTTTTTTCATATTTTATATGCTTTTATGTGCTTTAAATTGCATTTGGTGTATTATTTTTGATTGTGTTTTAAGTGCTGTAAGACACAGAATCTCATGCTTGAGATTGGCAGCTTCAATCTGAAGATATACGTACATACATATATACAGACAGATAGACAGACAGACATTTATACATTCATACATAGTATTCCCAGCTGTCTCCAATTCAAGTACTAAGTAGGAATGGCTGTTATCTTTTGAGCTTGGATAAGGTAGGCCAATGATACCATCTGCTGAGGCTGAAAAAATGCTTAATACTACTCAGGAGACAACTCTCACCTCTGTGGTTTGGCATGAACCCATGGGATCATCAGGATTGGGTTTCTTGTAGACTTTGATGTCATTCTGGGCTTGTTCCACAGACTTAAATTTTTATTTTGGTGTGTTTGTTTTCTAGCCGGAGGTCTGGTCAGTATACAATGAATCATGATAACTCTAAGAAGCCTTCAGGGAAGCTCCCTTGTGAGCATTCAGGATCTCAAGATTCACTTGATGAATTATCCATGGATGACTATTGGAAAGAACTTGAAAATATCCATGAAACAAGAAGTGATAACCATGAAGAACGTGACCTGGTTGTGGTGAAAGAGCCTGATGGTAATTACAGTTACACTCTATGAAATTATTCCATAGATTTTGAAGGTTTGGTTTTGCACTGTTTGTTTTCTGCTTCTAGTCTAGGTTTGTGTAGTACAGATTTCAGATTGGTGGATGTCTCTAAATCTGTCATCTAGTAATGGTATACTGGTAATAATGTCAAAAGCATGGATGTGTTACTATAGATTACTAAGGACTGTAAGGAAAGATACTTCCTTAAATGGCATATAATTTATGTGTGGAATTTATGGCTGCAATATGTGTAGATAACTTTAAAGAAGGATTATGAACAGTTATTTATTAATTATGACATTGAAAACCAGAACATACATTGGAGTGAGTTTTGATTCTGGGTATTTGGTTGACTACCTCTTGAAGCAAGATGCTAGGTATATAAAGCTTTAATTATACCCAATAGGTTCCATATGTTTCCCCTTGATGTTGAAGGGGGGTATGAGAGGTTCTGATTTTGGGGTGCTTGCTAGCTATGTAATTATCTCCAGTCAGAATGTGCACATTCATCATATAAAAAGTAATAGGACTGGAGAAGATAATGGAATCAAATACAAGTCATCTGTGTATATAGTTTACAAGGCCTACATCAAATCAGGATCAGCTTTACTTTTGGCAATTAGCTCCTGAATAACTATTTTATTTTTCTCCCATACTAGGATAGTACAGGTAGTCCTCCAGTTACAAGTGTAATGGAGCTTGCCTATTCCACTCATAACTTGAAACTTATAGAATGAATCTCGTACCTCAAACGAGATCACTCCCTTGCTCATTAAAATGCACGCGGCTCGTTAATGAACATGGGGTATCTCAGGGTGGGGAAGGCCATGGAGGGCCTAGTGATGGAACAGGTCCCCAAGGCCTCCCTGCCCCACTAAGATACCACATGCTTCCTCCTCCCTTCCTGCCGTGCCGGACTCACCTGGAAAAGATCCATCCCCTCTTTGCCATGGTTCTTGCTTCTGCCTGGATCTGAGGTTGGGGACGCTTCTGCAGCCCCCCCCCCCGTGGCCCAATCCAGACTCCAGAGGCATTTTCCAGGCTGCTGTCACTTGGATCTGAGGCCAGGGAACACTTTCGCACCCCTCCGTGGCCTCATCCAGGCTCTGGAGGCCTTTTCCAGGCTGGTGCCACCCGGATCTGAGGCCGGTGAACCCTTCTGCAGCCCCCCAATGGCCCGATCAGGGCTCGAGAGGCCTTTTCCAGACTGTTACGGCCTGGATCTTAGTCTGGAGGATGCTTTCGCACCTCGGCGGCCCAATCTGGGCTCCAGAGATGTTTTCTAGGTCGCTGCCACCCGGATCTGAGGCTGTGGAATGCTTCCGTTCCCCCCCCCCCGTGCCCTGATCTGGGTGGCAGCAGCCTGGAAAAGGCCTCCGTAGGGCTACATAAGCATCCCCTGGCCTCAGATCTGAGGGGCAGTGGCCTGGAAAAGGCCTCCGGAGTCCCGATCCAACCTCCAGAGGAACATTGAAGCATTCCCCGGCTTTGGTTCCGTTCTCTTGCAGAGAACAGAGGCCTAAAGTACCATGGGATCTCGCAAGATCAGTAGCATGAGATCTTGCCCCATTGATCTTGTGTGATCTTGCGTTACTTTAGGCCTCCATTCTCTGTGAACGCATTGAAGGCCTGGAGCAATCAATAAAGCAAAGGATCTCGATCTTCGCAGGGTGAGTATTGAAGCCTGGTGCCTAGGGAGGGGAGGGAGGGAATAACCAGGATGAATGTTGCAGAGCCACTGCGGTCACTCGTAAGGGCGAATGACTGCTGTGGTGCTGCAATATTCCTAATTTCGGGACTTGCTTGTAAGCACTAGGGGGTGCTTATCACATAACTTTGAACGAGTATTATGTGAAAACTTGTAACTCGGGGATTACCTGTATTGTAGCAATTTGAAATATATTGGAACAACCACAATTGATTTTTGGATGTGTGCTCAACATTATTATAATATAGACTTTGTCTGAGTAGCCATTGATGATCAAACATTGATCATATTTAAAAATGTTCCTTTAAAAAAACACCAAACCAAAAATATCAACAGTGTCCTAGAAATTCAGGAATATTTTCACTGTATTTTAAAAATCGGTACTATAAAGCAGTCTACTCCTGGTTTCTTTATTTATGAAACGAAATTAATTGAATCCTAAACTGCCTGGAATGTAGTATAAAAGATTTCACCATTTCATTGGCAGGTTCATAGTAATGTGATATACATAATTCATGATGTGATACTGCCAGCTTTGCTTCCAGAAAATATGTGCAACATTTATTGCCCATTGGTTTATAGTTCAAGAGTAAGAAAGAATTTCAGCCATTATTGATACTGGATTAGGGCCAAACCATAGCTGAAGTAGCAGGAAGTTGTTCCTTTTTTTATATAGAATGATTGTCTTGTAAAGCTAGAACATGCAGTACAACATCCACTTGTCATGCTTGAGAAATTTTGCTTTTAGAACCGATCTAGTGCTTATTTTTCAACTATTTCTAGTGCATAAAAAATTCTCATTTTTAGTTAGTACCTTTTAAAACTTAATAGTGTCACATACTTATATGTTAAATGTACAAGATACAGTGTTGATTTAATGCTAAAAAAAGAAAGGAAACAGTGATATATGATTATATGCCAGATAATACATTAGCATTATGATTTCAGTGCTGATCATATACAGTAACTATTCTTAGAAGCATGTCAGTCAATCATGTATTTTATTACTAGGAGTATTTAATTCTTAGGGTTTTTCACATTGCCAAAAGATATAAAAACTGTAACCTTGCATTAAAATATTGTACAAATACTAAATTTTTAATTTTGGAAAGATGGGGATTGTTAAAGGAGCAACAATTTTGTGGCAAATATAACAAAATATAAGCACAAACAGCTTTACAAATACTTATTATTTATTACTCTGTTAAAGAATTATACCTAAATAAAATTATTATTTTATTGGAATTTTTTTCCAATAAAATATTAATTGTATTATTGTTGTGATGCTATGGACTCCTTCTGTATTCCGAAAAGTATTGAAGTGTTGCCAGCTAGAAGCAATAAGTAAATTACCCCCTTACTAGAAATCACTAAGGAGTAAGGAGAGCATCAACAAAGACAATTGAATGTTGCAATACAATAGCCCATTTGCAGTAAGAGCTCTTATTAGTTTGATAACCTTTGATTAAATTGAGTTAACAAAGAGTTCCTTTAGGAAAACAAGTTGCTTTGAAAGGGTAAAAAGTACAGAATTAAATTGGGGATTCTGTATATGATATATTCTGCTGCAATATATTCACATCTTTTGAAGGAAATCCATGCAACAAAACCCACACATTTACAAGAAATCAACAGAAAAGAGAAGTGATTGTTTCAGTACAGAAATAGAATAGAACAGAATAGAACAACAGAACAGAATAGAATAGAATAAGAGAGTTGGAAGGGATCTTGGACGTATTCTAGTCCAACCCCCTGCTCAGGCAGGAAACCCTATAGCATTGCAGACAAATGGTTGTCCAATTTCTTCTTAAAAACTTCCAGTGTTGGAGCATTCACAACTTCTGGAGGCAGATTGTTCCACTGATTAATTGTTCTAAAAGTCAGAAAATTTCTCCTTAGTTCTAGGTTGCTTCTCTCCTTGATTACTTTCTATCCATTGCTCCTTGTCCTGCCCTCAAGTGCTTTGGAGAATAACTTGACTCCCTCTCCCTGAGATATTATATATTATAGTAATCTGCTTTGTACATCTACCTTGTCCTTTCTCATGGAATTCAGTGGCCATATTCATATGTAATAGCAAACCATGTCTTGCTACCTTTAACATACCAAGTTTGTAAGTGTTTGTTTCCTCTTACAGTTTTTATAATAGTTTGGGAGAAAGTCAGTTTTCTATATCCAGATGTAATAACAAACTGTAGACTGTGCAAAGCAGTTTTACATTTAGGCAGGAAAAACCAAAGGTACAAGTACAGATTAGGTGAGACCTGTCTCAAAAACAGAAACTGAGAGGGACCTTAGAGTCCTAAGGATAATCATTTGATTATGAGCCAACAGTGTGCAGCAGCAGCCAAAAAAAGCTAATACAATCCTGGGTTGTATAAACAGAGGCATGGAATTAAGATCACACAGAGTATTAGTACCATTTTATAAAACCCTAGTAAGACCACACCTGGAATACTGCAACCAGTTTTGGTCACCATATTACAAAAAAGATGTTGAGAGTTTGGAAAAAATTCAGAGAAGAGTAACTAACATGATCAAAGGCCTGGAGACCAAAACATATGAAGAACGGCTGCAGGACTTGGGTTTGGCTAGTCTAAAGAAAACAAGAAACAGGGGAGACATGATAGCAGTATTCCAGTATTTGAGGGGTTGCCACAAAGAAGAGGGGGCCACATTATTCTCCAAAGCACCAGAGGGCAGGACAAAAATCAGTAGTTGGAAACTGATCAAAGAGAGAAGCAACCTGGAATTAAGCAGAAACTTCTTGACAGTGAGGACAATTAACCAATGGAACAGCTTGCCTTCAGAAATCGTGGGCGCTCCATCACTGGAGATTTTTAAGAAGAGGCTAGACAGTCACTTGTCTGAGATGGTATAAGTTCTCCTGCTTGAGCAGGGGGCTGGACTAGAAGACCTCCAAGGTCCCTTCTAGCTCTATTCTATTCAGTAACATCTAATCTGACCCCACAATTAATGGAATAAACTGGGAAAAACAAAGCATGCAAATAACCTTGAAATTCACGACTTCTTAATTATGTAATTTCCATCTATGCTTGCCATAATTATTGTGAGGAAGAGAAAAGATTTGTGGGATAGCAATGAAGAATAACACAAAACAGAAACCAAATATCTTGATAGTTGAATAATCTTTTTTTACAGCTTCATTGTAATCCCCAGCAATTCATACTTTAAAAAAAACTTTCCCATGTAAGTCAGTAGGTTTCATCTAATTTTTGTGCAGAAGTAATTCAGATTACTGATTAGATTCAGATTAGGTCAAGTGTTTTCGCCTCAACATGATAGGCTTGAAATTTTTTAGCCACGTTTGAGCTGAATCACCAGTTGTGGCCTCTTTTCTTTTTTAGCACATGAAAAGATTTCTACTGTACTGTATGGAAACTATTTTCATTTTTATGTTAAAAAGTATAGGATTAAATACAATATAAATTGAATCATACATCTATGTCCTTCTTCCCTTTATTTGAGTAGAGGGTGAATTGGAAGAAGAGTGGTTAAAAGAAGCAGGTCTGTCAACGCTTTTTGGTGAAGCTGCTGGAGATTCCCATGAAAGTATGGTGGTTTTGGCTACCTTGACCAGAACTCAGGCTATAGCAGTGCAGAAGCGAGTTGATACCATCACCCAGACAATGAGGAAGAAAAACAAACAGTACCAAGTTCCTGATGTGAGAGAGATCTTCAAGCAACAAAATGAATCAATGGAAAAAGTAAGTTCCTGGTTTGGGGCTTTGGTTTGGCATTTCTGAAACAGCTTTTTAACACAGCGCAGGATAAATGAGAAGTGAAATGCACTTTTTTTTTCAGTTTTAGCAAAACCCACAGCAAAGAACATTTCAAAGGCTGGATTTGCCAAGATTTATTTATTTATTTTTTAAAAAGGGTTGATTGCCCATGTAAAGGACCATACATACTTTTCTGAAAGTTTGCCTTATTTTGTTTTGTTTTGTGAGGATTCTATAGTGAAATTAAGCAACTTTTCAAGGCATTATATTTTAATGTAGATTAGAGGACCTGAGTTTTAGTTTGATCCTTATATCTTTCATTTAAACATGAATGAGAAAGGATGCAACTTTTGTTTATGAATAGGCAGTTATATTGAAATCAATTTGCATGACTCCTGCAAATTGATTTTTCTGAATTCAAAATTCCTCAGTAGTTCTGAAAATCAAGAAATCTGAATTAATTGCTCATATCACTATTTTACAAGTAGAGGAAAAATATTTTCTGTATAGAACATCTAGAATGAAAGAACGTATATATTGTAGAGCAGGGCTTTTCAACCAGTGGTACGGGTACCACCTGTGGTACATTGGCACCTGGCAGGTGGTACACAACCATCCTAAAAAAATGGTAGCGGGGGAGGGGAATAAGCTGAACTGGTGGCAGCACCTCACAAGCCTGTGCAAGAGATGGCTGGAGCTGCATGACTGTCAGGGCTCAGTGGAAGCGCCAGGATTGGCACTTCCTTGGGGCTGTCAGGGCTCAGTGGAAGCACCAGGATCAGCACCAGGCTCCAGAAGGAGCTCGGTGCTGATCCTGGCGCTTCTGCTGAGCCCAGAAGAAGCTCTGATCAGCTGGAATGTTGCAGCATCTACAGGGTCTTATGATTTACATCCAGATGCTTGGCAACTGATTCATATTTATGACGGTCACAGTGTCCCAGGGCCATGTGAAGTGACCAAAACCTGCTGCAACCACCCAGCAGATGAGGGGAATAAAAACCAAACACCCCTCTACCTCACCCGTGCTGCCAATCCTCAATAGAAATGCTCACAACAATGAAAACCTTGGACAGGAGGAAGAGCACCGCCGGGTGGGCAGGCAGGTGTCTTGCTCGGCTGTGGCTTAGGGGGCACTTTTTTCAGTGCCATTGTAACTTCAAATAGTCACTAAGCGAACTGTTGTAAGTCGAGGACTACCTGTACTTCATCACTTTTTTCCTTTTTTGGGGGGTCATCAAGTTTTTAATACCTTGCTAGGCGACTGATGGTATGATATGTTGCCATATCCTGGTGGTATGATATGTTGCCATATCCTAAAAGTGGTACAATGGGTGAAAAGGTTGAAAAGTCCTGTTGTAGAGGTGATGTCATTCAATTAATTCATTTTTAGGGGAGACCAATACAGTGTTTAATATTTTACTGAATTGTATACAGCTATGACATTCTGTTAATTATTGAGGTCAGTGTAATGTAGTGATTGCATTGTTGGACTAAGGCCAAGAAGACCTATTGTGCATTCAAATCTTAGACTTATGTCTAGAGGAAAGGCAATATATAAATGTAATACATAAATAACAAATATTGAAGAATAGATGGTAAAATGTAAGGCTACAGAGGCATATCTATAAAATCATTAGAAGTCAAGTTCAGTGCAAAAAAGACATTATTTTTCTAATGTCCATGAAATTTGATGCATTCTGCATCTCTGTCACATATGAATATATAGTAGATGCTTGAGATTTTTGGTATTTAAAAATAAAAATATGAAAAAGTATTTATTCCTATTAGAAACAAAAATAGGAAGTAGCAGATAATCTTAAAATATATTTCTTAAAAGTTAGGGACTATTATGCAGCATGTTTTCCATTTGTTTTAAGACATGTAATTGAGATCATATATAGCAGGGGTGTCAAACTGCCGGCCCGTGGGCCGGTTGCATATGCGGAGGCTGCACCCACTCCAACTCCGGCAATTGCGACACATCACATGACGCGACGAGTTTGACACACGTGATATACAATAATGCAGCAGTATGTATTGGGCATTTACATGACCATTCTTTTTGTTCTGTGCTCCTCCTATAGTTCCTTTCAGAGTTTATGGTTTGTTCATGATACTGATTCAGCCCATGTCACTATAGTTAATTCCATCAATTTAGTTCCCCTCTTGAAAATAAAGAAGCCAGGAGGAGAACAACAAATTAGTTTCTGCATGTATTAGCTGTGTGTATACGGATTTAGTGAAACGATGAGAGAGTCTCTTTAGAATAATAAATTGCATTTTCATTCTTTGGTACCATCAAAGAATCATGAAGCATAACTATTTGTATAAAATATTTGTAAATAGAAAAACACTGTTTTATTTTGTTTTTCTTTCCTAAACCAATAAAAAATAAGACAAAAAACAAATGTATTATTGTGAAAATATTACACCTAGTTACGAGACGGATTTTTCTCTGGAGCAACCAAAATCTTTTATATAAAACAAGATTAGTAATGATAAGCTATGAAGGAATTTTGATATTCTATGGGAAATCCAATATAGATAAGAGCTGGATAAAAATATGTGCCACCATTGTATTAAACAGCTTTAACTTACATGGATCTTTTCTTTTAACAAAGAAGGCAATATTTTATTAACTCTCTCTCCCATTTAAAATCTGTCAACAGGGAAGAATTGAAAATATGTTGAAAATAAAAATAATTCCACTCTTCCACTGTTAACATTCATATCTAGGGTGCATTTGCTATTACACGGTTTAGCGTGTGAAAATACAATGAAAAATAAAATCTAAAGAAAAAGCTAATCTCTCTCCTCATTTTCCAGTTCAAAATGGGTATTCTGTAATGTGAATCATAATCAGTATCAAAGGATCAGGAAAAAAAACAGTTCAGAAAATCAATGGATAGGCAGGTGAGGTAAAAATATCATTTTACTTCTAAGCCACCCAGAGTTGGCACTCTGATGGCAAATAAATAAATCTCCCACCCATTTGCTATTAACAGGAGGTTTTCGAGAATGACTCACCTAAACTGGCCAACTACCAGCATTCTTTGGGATCTTGGTTTTCCTAGGAAATTCTTAAAAAGAGATATAATTTTTTTTTTCATTTAACAAAGAAAAGACATGTGGTTCCACCAGATTTTAATTCCAGTGCAAGAATTGTAAAATGACATTTCTCTGTTTTGAGTCACTTATCAGTTTTGCAAGCAATGCATTAAAAAAAATACAACTAAAGTTAAAAGAGTAATCCATTATATCTTTATAGAAATTATATTAAGATTCTCTGAACATTCTAAAATTCCAAGTATTCAGGTATTAACTGCATTCCTTTCCCGTGAAAGTCTTATTTTTGTATCTAAGCTGTAGTTTTATAAGTATTAAAATGTTTAATAAAAGTTCAAAATCCATGTTAAGAGCCAAGTGTTTATTAATAAAGAAAATTGCTAAACTCTGTATATAACATATCTTTTTAGTACTGTTTAAAAGTTTAATCATTCTGGTCTCTGGTTTTGTTTTCATTAGCTTTTTATCATTTAGAGTTTTAACTGAAGCATTGCAGGCACATTTCAAATTTGTTTTTATATATTTTTATTTACTTATATATCAAATTTCTTTACGCGTCTCCCTTATAGAGGGACTCTTCACATATAATAATAGATGTGCTTGTGTTAGTGGTTCTTATGCTATTTTTCTACTGGTTTGGGGGTTATTTTTCAATAGTTAAGTAGGATCCTTACCTACTATTTCTGAACTGTTTCCCTATTGCTGTCTCCTCTGAATGTACAATCTAATGAGACTTCAGTTACAGGAGTGTGGATTGGCACAAATCACATTTGAATTGTTGATTCAACTTTCAGAAAATCAAATTGATTTGAATCAAAATGATTCAGTGGAATATATTTGATTTGATTTGATATGGTTCAGAAAACTGGTTTGGTCCATAGATCTGAGAGATTGTAGAATTAATTTTTAATTCTATTTTTAGTAAAATGTAGATGGAGCTATATTAGTATGAAGAGTGTATTAGTTCTGTTGTATCAATTATACCATGTATTGCAAAATCTACATCTGATTTTTTTTCAGATAAACAATGCTGCACTTCAATGGTTAGATGGCCTAGACATTGGTATCTAAATATAGATGTTTTTAATTTCATATTTTACAGTGTTTTTAATTTATGTGAAATGTTAGCATATATTGTAAATCCACTAAATTAGATAGATAGATAGATAGATAGATAGATAGATAGATAGATAGATAGATAGATAACCTTTATTGTCATTTTTTATTGTGGGCACAATAGCAGACATTAAAAATGAAATTTAGTTGCTTGCTCTGAAAATGTACACATACATAACACACATTTAAACATATTACATACAACATATGTATAGACCTATACCCTTACATATATGTAACATATAAATATTAATTACTGTCCATCTTGAATACATAACGGAAGGAGGAAGCTTTAGCGTTCACAAGGACTGTATGGAACAAAACTCTGACTGAATCTGGATGTTCTGCTTCGGATATCACGAAGCCTCCTCCCAGAAGGTAACAAGGAAAACAGGTTGTGAAGAGGATGTGTTGGGTCCCATATAATCTTACGGACCCTGCTCAAGCAGCGCTTCTGTGCTATGTCCTGGATGGGAGGGAGGGAACTGCCAATGATCTTTTTGGCCATTTTTCACCATTCTCTGCACTGCCTTCCTGTCTGAAGTAGTGATGCTTCCAAACCAGACTGTGATGCTGTATGACAGGATGCTCTCAATTGTCCCTCTGTAGAAAGTGGTAAGAACAGGGGAAGGAAGATGTGCTTTTCTCATGCGATGCAGAAAATGCAGGTGCTACTGTGCCCGCTTCACCAGTGTCTTGCTGTTGAGTGACCAAGCCAGCCTACTTGTTAACTGCACCCCCAGGAATCTGATTTTTGTTCTCTCAAGTAGCAAGTAATTAATACTAATTAATGCTATTAATTAAGTAGAGCTTATCATTGGTATTTAGTTTTCAATACTGTTTATCTAATTATTAGTTTACCTATTTCATATATTGTAGGAATCTGGCATTGATCACCAGCCTGTAAAAGCAGAAGGAAAAAAAGAAAGTGTACAAGAAAAAGCCAAGGAAGGTAAATTTTTGTGTAAAATAAAATCTACCTCACTATATTTACTATACCTGGTGAGCAGCATGACCAGTTCTCTTGAGAAATCCTGTTTATATAGCATAATAAGGCAAATATATTGTTAGTAGAACAACAGACCATGGTTTTTAGAAGCCTGTTGGCTAAAAAGAAGCTCTGGTTTACCTGATCACATTAGATAAAAAGCAAATATTGCAGTATGGTGGGTTCTTGGGCACAGTAATAGATTAAAGATTTTACAGATATATTAAAAATTCATAATCATATGGCTGGGGTCAGAGATTACAAAATTCTGGTTTCAAATATATGAAAGGGCCAGATCATCTTCCCTTGTTCTTTGAAGATAAGATTTGGCAACCTTGTTGTGTGTGTTTTGAAGCAAAGAAGCCACATATGCTTCATATGTTCAGTCCAATTCAGAATTAGGATATTAAAATAGATTAAGGAACCATAAGAAGAAATGCAATGAAGACAGAGATGGATACACCATAATCCATAATTGCCAACCTATACTTGCTTTAAAAATGAGGAAAGAAAAACAACAAAAGAAAATAGTAATGTGTCTGAATTAATCCTAAAAAAATGTATTAATTTATGATCAGGCGTAGCGACAACAGCCATGGAGTCTTGTATGTAGAAAATCAATCAATGCAACACCATTAACATTAAAATTCCACGTTCAAGTTCAGTAGACAATGACAAAAGTCCAAAATGCACCACATGTAATATCAACTAAACAGTGTATACTCCTAAGAACATTAGTAAAATCTTTCTCCCCTCACTTAAGCCATCAGGCAGCCGTTTGCTGGTAAGAACTGTTTCTAGGATGGGAAGGTTGCCAAACTGCTGCGTCAGCATAAGGCTGAAAGGGGAAGATTGAAAAACACAGGTCTTCTGCCAATTAACCAGACTGTAGAATCTTAGCTTGGAAAACAACCAAGCATTTATTTAAGAATTTTGTAACATCTGGTTCTTCTTTTTTTCCCAATGCCTCTTCATGACTGCTTTCAAAATGGGAAATTGTAAAAAGCTATTTTCATGTGCTCCATGCTCTGCAGCACTGCATGCAAATGACCATTTAATATGACATTTGGCAATTTTACTGCCTAATGGAGCACTGTTTCCAAGTTGAGACAGGATGAAAATCTGTTCTGTCTGCTGATTTATCCAGGCTTATCTTGGAATAAACTCTGGTCTACATTAGGTATTCTTCAAATAATTATCAGTTCCACTTTTCACAAAGCATTATATTGGCTTGGTGTTTAATGGGACTGGATTTGGGGTTGCCTCGTATATAAAAAAGAGCAAATAACTTGATGAGCTCTGAGCATATTGTGTAACATTACTCCCAAAGGAGTGTAAGGGAGAACATTACCAACATATGCGTTAAAGTGCCCTCAAATTTCTTGCGGCACCAACAAATAATCATTAGTCCATCTATCCAGTAGACATAAAAACAATATTTTGATGAAATAATTTAAACTTAAATAAAAGGATATAAATTTAGTGTTCTTCAAAACTTGTCCATTGGTTGAAAAGAATTAGAATTTCCAGTTCTTGATTCAAAACTACTTGTTTATTTGTTAAATATTTTAAACTATTCCGTTAGCTTTTGACAAAAAAAAGGGAGGCTTAGATTCTGTAAAGATATGGGAGAATGACCTCGGGAGATAAGGGCAACAGCTGCCACCAGGGGAATGGCTAGGTAAGAGGCAGCCTAATTTCTAGCAGGAGTTGTAGGCAGGGCAAACAGCTCTAAAGAGATCCTCCTAGTTTCTTGGACTGTAAAGGTGACAGGGGAGAAATGTACTTTCAGAACTGTAAGATTCTATTACCGTCTTTCCCCGAAAGTAGGACCTACTCCAAAAATAAGCCCTAGCTTGATTTTTGGGGGTGAGCCTAATATAAGCCTTAGCCAAAAAATAATAAAATAAGCCCTAGTTTTGGGGCAAGGTGCACACCTAAAAATCAAGCTAGGGTAGGGGTAGAGTTTACCATTGCAGCCAGGCCTCCCATGAATTGACATTTGCCTCACCGGCAACCGAAGGAGCAGCTTCACTCTGCAGCTGAGAATGGAGCCCGGGCCTGCATTTTGCAGTCAGAGGCCTTTCCGCAAGGCCTGTGCAGCCAAGAATCGAGCTATCGATTCAATTTGTAGTCGGTTCTCAGCTGCACGGGCTTCTAATGGCAAAATGCAGGCCAAGCTCCATTCTCAGTTGCAGAATGAAGCTGCTCCTTCAGCTGCAGAAGAAATGGACCGGCTAGACAGGATTGTCGGTGCCGTCACAGCAAGGTGAGGGGAAAAGACATCCCCCTCGAAAATAAGACCTGGTGGCTCTTTTGGAGGCCATAAATAAATAATAAGACCAGGTCTTATTTTCAGAGAAACACAGTAATATAATCTTACAATAAAGTAGAGCTAATGATTCTGGGTGTGCTTCTTGTCCGGACTACCTCATAATGATGACATATTATGAGATTGAATTGTTCAGTATTAATAACTTACTAGGCAATTTAGAAGCTGCTAAAGCATCAAATCTGAACTGAACTGTCAAAACATGTTTTCACTGGATATATTTCCATTTTGTGTTGATGGTACAGAAAATTCTGTTTGCGGTTGCTGAAAAGATTTAAAATAATAATTAAACAACATTTAATCTAATGTACTATACCCTTTTGCACCCATTTTTTCCAGGAAAGTTTTGCCACTGATTTATAGAATAGAATTATGGCAGAAAGTTAAGTGTTCATAAAATTCCATATCAGAATTAGAGCTATCACCTAACAGGGACCAAATATATCTAACACTGGTAAAGTTGGAATTAATTGTCATAGACTTTGTACCTAACAACTGCCAAGATTTAAATAGGTAAGTACAATAACTTTCCATCATAACCCAGAAAGGAATTCCATTTCCAAAAACCATTCCAATAAAATATTAATACTAATATTAATATATCCAGTGGTATTTCCCAAAATCTAGGAGATTAAAAGGCCACCTGCCGCATACAAATGTCATCCAGAAAGGGAGATTCTGAGTGTTTTACCTTTCCCAAATAGATTTCCTCCAAATCCTATTAATTTGATCAATTTTTTTTGGGGGGGGGGAATAAGCATATTGATCATAAAACATATACAAACCTAGAAGTTATATTAATTTTAATTTTACCCTACCAAATCAAAGGTATCTTATAGCATCTATCAAAAGTTAATATAATTTGTTCCAGCACAATAGACATATTAACTTGGACAATTTTTGAAATATCTAATATAATAAAATCAAAAATCCCACCTGTGTATACTATTCCAATGAGACATCTGACCCTAAAGAAGGTAAATTAGATTTAGCTCTAAACATTTATGAGAATACTTGTCAAGTATTGAGTTATAACATTTGACATCAAACCATGCAGCCCCCACTTTTCCCCCCAGTAGTTTGGTGTCTTTATGCAAATTCAGTTTATAAGCTTTTGGAGAAATGTAACAGTAACACAAACTGAGGAAAACTGTGTTTTGGATGTAGATAGGTAAGACAAAAGAGAAATTATTTTTTCCCTTCTATCTGTAGCCCCCTTGCATTAGATCAACTGCTGTTCTTCTGAAGTTTGCAAGTTTTTTAGAAAGTCACCTTCAGCTATATGCTATTTTCAGAACAATTGCCCACAGAAAACAGAAGGCTTAAAAAAAACCACCCTCAATATATAAATAAAGCTCTTTGTATATCTTCCACTTCTTAACCCTGTTAATCTGAAATTTGTTATAGTTGTAGCTGCTGATTTCCAGTGATAATAAGTAATTTGGAGATTTGGACTCCACACAAATCAATAAGTCTCACAATTAATCTATAGGTAGTCCTCAACTTACAATCATTTGTTTAGTGACCAACATTACAACGGGACTGAAGAAAATGACTTATAGCTGGTCTTTATATTTATGGCAATTGGAACATTCCAAGAGTCATGTGATCAAAATCCAGGTGCTTAGCAATCAGCCTGTATTCACAATAGTTGCAGTGTCTCAAAATCATGTGATTGCCATTTGCAACCTCCCCAGCAGGCTTCTGGCCCATAAAGACAACAATGAGGGAAGCCAGATTTGCTAATGACCTCATGATCTGTTTAACAACAACAGCGATTCACTTAAGAACAATGGCAAAAAAGATAAAATTGGGCACAACTCACTTGCCTCGCTTAGCAATGGAAATTCTGGTCCCCACTGTGATTGTTAGTCAAGGACTCCCTGCATTTTGAAGTGCTGAACTTCATCTAGATGACATGGTAAAGGTATACCATCAGTGGGGGGGGGGGGAGCCTAGCTTGGATTTTGGTTCTTTTCCTTATAGGCCATTTTGCTGTTTTGCTGTTTTGTTTTAAAGGAACAGATGTTCTTGACAATCATTCCCAGATTCATAGTAAAGAATTGTCCATATTACTGGAATAGTGTTTGAAGTGCGTCATTGTTTTGCTTGTTAAATACGACACTATCTTTGTTAGGGTAGGGAGGACATAGTGATATTAACCATCAGTGATTTGATTTTTCTATTCTGGCAAATACTCAAGATATCGAACAAAATGTTGAGGATAAGAATAATATACTTCATAAAAATTCTGAAGACTCTGGGAGACTTTTCCTTTGTGGAATAGCATGGAAATGGACTCTATGATAGCAGAGTAGCCAAGGTGTCAAAACAGTCATTCTGCAACAGCATTTTCTCTCTGTGGCCTGTCAGGAAGGACTGAAACCATAGTTAATCCTAAATTCCGTCCTGCTAGATGGTCCAGAAGAATGCACCAAAAGATCCAGAAGAATCTTTCCCATTTCTCCAATTCAGTTTTGAGTGTCGGACCTCATCCCAGGCAACTGAAGCATTTTCAGCACTATATTTTGGCAAAAGCCCAGTTGAAATGCATCCAGATACTTAGTGTCACTCAAGGACATTTAAAGCTGCAAGATCAAACCTTCTGAATCATGTTTTCCAGAGACTTTAATTGTACAGCTCTCCCAAGTAAAGACTTGGAGCCCAGAAGGCTGATGCAATCTTGTGCAGGCAGCATAGTCAAAGCCTGTTCATGCATGAAAGCTTGTTTTCCACAGGTAACATGTAGATAAGCAGGCAGCCAGGTGGTCAAGGACATCTTCTCTTTGTCTTAGCGTTCTAACTAGGTCAGCCAAACAGAATGCTGGGTGTGCAAAGACCAGTTTAAAAAAGAAAATAGGGTATTTATTTTTGTTTATTTATTTGTTTGAATGGCAAACCCTCCCCCCCCAATGTTCTCTAAAATATGTTTATCCTTTGATAGTGAATGACTTCTCTGGGGAAGAAATTTATTGAGAACCGTGACTGGATGGTACATTCTTGGATATAAGAAGGCTACAATTCCTTAAATACTTGTTCTATTATTTTATGCTTAATTGGGGTATGTGGCTCATTCAAGCAGAATTGTCCTAGTATGATTACTTGTGTTTTTTTAAAATATAAATATATGTATTTCAAAACATACAAAAATTAACTAGAGCAGAGGTCCCCAATCTTTTGGGCACCAGGGACCAGTTCTGTGGAGAAAGGTTTTTCTACGGACCGGAGAGTGCATGGTTTTGTGTGCTGCCTGCATCTCATGGATAGGGCTTTGCTAGTTTGTGTGGACCGGTTGCTAGCATGCCACAGCCCACTACTGGTCCACGGACCAGGGGTTGGGGACACCTGAACTAGAGTATAGGTAAACGATAGTGCTTTCGATTTGATACACTTCTCTATTTAAAAATAAATAGTAAGTTAAAAAAAACACAGTGAAAATTCAAGCACAGGTTACAATTTATATTGCAACTTTTTCTTAGAATGGAGCAACCTGAAATTGAGTTCATGTGAGGGCTGAGAGAAAGCAAGGTAGTATGATGGATAGCTTCTGAAACAAACAGCTTAAAAGGCTTAAAAGATGGGGAGTTATGATATATGAAAGCCCCATGTAAACCTGTAACAGATTGACTCATTATATTATTTGGTTAACTGACGTTTAAATCCAATGCATCTTTTTGTTTCACTGAAAGGAGTGAGAACTCAAAAAAGGTAGAGGGTAGGGAAGCAAATTCTGTTAATTTTCCTCTTCTGTGCAATTTCCAGTGTCACTTGCTTATTTGAATCTTCTCCTTTCATGAGATGGAATGCTCTATAATGTAGAAAATCATGCAATATCACTCCATTTAATCCATTACTGAATTAGCTAAATAACACTTTTCCTGCCATCATTGGGCTAATATTGGTAAATTCATTATTTTCATGTATTTAACAAAAGAACCCTGTAGATAAATCTCTCTCCTCTCCTCTCCTCTCCTCCATTTAGCATATGAACATATCGATAATTGTCCAAGAGAAGATTTGCCACCATCTGAAACAGACATTAATTTGGAAATATCATTTTCTGAACAAGCAGTTAATCTCAAAAATAACTCTGTAAGTGACGTGTTAAAAGACAAAGAAGATGACACTCTGCTTCCTGTAAGTGTTTATATGTGTACATGCATGTATTTAGTTTAATTTCCTTAATTTTGTAATTTTTCACCCATTTTCATCTATAACCCCTCTCCCAAATAATACATAGGTCAACTTGGATTTAAAAGAGGTGAAATGCTGTATCTTTCCAGTAGTCTAGCAGCCCCTGACCTTTTGGGCACCAGGGACTGATTCTGTGGAGAGATTTTTTTCCGCAGATTGGAGGGAGTGTGGTTTTGTGTGCTCTCTGTATCCCGTGAATGGGGCTTTGCTTGTTTGCATGGCCCAGTTTCTGGCATGCTGGCCTGGTGCCAGTCCATTGACTAGAGCAGTGGTGGCAAACCTATGCCACGGGTGCCAGAGGTGGCACTCAGAGCCCTCTCTGTGGGCACACGAGACATCGTCCCAGTCCTAGGCCTTCAGCTGGGTTCTATAAAACCTTTTCGCTTTAGGCCTCTACCGTCATGTGAAAAAAAAAAGTTTCAATCAGTCAATTTCAACTTCTCGTGGGAAAAAAAAGATCTTGCAAAGTTGAAATTAATTGATTGAACTTTTTAGTCCCTCCCAGTCTGCCCTTACCACTGCAGCTACGCCTACCCAGTGGGCCACACCCACCCAATGAGCCACATCCACTTGGCACTCGACGATGCATAAGTGGGTTTTGGGTTGCAGTTTGGGCACTCGGTCTCTAAAAGGTTTGCCATCACTGGACTAGAGGTTGGGTACCCCTGCTGTAGCTCATTCACACATTATTCATGGGAGGAGGCATTTTGTGAATAAATCAAATCAGCTCCACCCATCTATTAGTACAAACCTTTGAATGAGGGAAGTCAACATGCACAAGATTCATAGGATTATATCTAGAGTATTTTTGCAGACATCTGGGCACAGATGGTAGAAATGTAGCTTGAAAGGTCCCACAATTAACTTATTTGGTGAGAGACAAAGGAAAGAGCCGTATGCAACAAGTGGGATGGCAAAATATTACAGCACAGGTACTGCTCATATTACTGGTAGTGGACCATTAATTGAAAACCAGTAGTCATGCTAAAGAATTTTTAGTTTGTTTTCTTTATAAAGTAATTTGGATAGATATGATAGAACTGTATTCTTCATTATTCTTCTACTTTGAAGTTAAGGAACAGTTTCGGAATCATAAGCGTTGTTTAAGATCAGCCCTTAAGTCAAAAATAAATGTTCTTTTTTTGTGCCTTCTGTGTGGAGATGTTTATTTGGAATCTGGATGGGGCAGAAAAAAGAGATTCCTTTTCCTTTTAACCTTTTAAAGAATGACTCCAGTTCCCTCTTTTAACCAAAGTTATCAGGCCCAAATATTTTTGAGTGCATGGGCAACAATGAATTAAAGATTTTTATTTTAATAAATGCAGAAAAGTGAATACTTGGGAAGGAAGGTAACTGAATCAAGAAAAGGAAACTTAGATCTATGTTCAAGAGGTAGCATTTGTTTATCAGCAGACAATAGAATGGATGATTGATTATGTCCCATGGGGTCATTGTCGAATCTTAGTGACCACATAGATAGATTTTCTCTATAAAGAATAGGAAAGGAGGTAAAAATAAATGCACAACTGAACAAAAAGCACTGAAAATGCACAACTGAATGCACAACTGAACAAAAATGCACAACTGAACAAAAAGCACTGAAAAGAAATAATCTATTGCTGATGTTTGCATTTTTGTTTTTCTTGCCAGCTGTATCTTACTGATTTCAATTTTCCCAGGGCTTTTGGACAGAGAAGGTTTGAGACCAGATAGAAAGCTGATTCCTACTGTATTGTCCTTTCTACTTACAGTACTTATAGTACATGTATCCAACTCAGACTGGGGGAAAAAATACTTGCATCTTGCTTCCTCAGCCTGTCATTGGAAGAGGACGGTGGTTTTAGAATTATAAAATATGTAAAGTTGCTAAACAACCTGTAGGATGCTAAATTCACCACAAATCTGCTCAAAGGTTATTACTTAACTTTAATTGTTCCAGGTTGCATAATTGACTCCAGTTAAATTATAAATAGTGGGAACAAAGGGAAGGGAAGTTTCTGATCAGAAATTTATGAAATACGTGTACTATAATTAAAAAAAAAACAGGCATTCTTCCCCCAAAATTGTAGTTCTCTTCAAGACAGCAATGTTTTTAAAGCAGGATTCCCATTTTTCCTTTTTCTGACCATGATGCATTCCCATGGCAGCTCTGAAGTGCTCCACTTTTGCACCAAGAGTGTATTTTCATTTAAGCAAACACAAGAATGACTTCTGTTCAGATTTCCTAACTTCAGATGGGCTTCCAGACAGAGAAATTCTCTGCCACTTTCAAGGCCCTCACCTGTTCGAGGCAGTGCCCCAAAAGAATAAATACTTTTGCCTAAAGCCATGCCCGTTGCGCTTCTAGAAATGTAGATTTAGTTCTAGTGTTTCTTGGGTTTTTTTTTTTTTAATGAAATTGTTAACACTGAGGGTTCACATAACTGCATTACCTACATTTAAACAGAACTTCAGATTTCCGAAGGACAAAACAGGTACAACAAAAATTGGAGATCTTGCACCTCAGGATATGAAGAAAATCCATGCGTTGGCCCTGATTGAACTGACTGCTCTTTTTGACATACTTGGAATTGAACTGAAACCACAAAAAGCAGCAAAAATTAAAGTGAAAGGTGAGTGTGTTGAATTTTTGGTTTTGGTTTGTTTTGCAAAATGCGTGTTCGGATACCTATTTGAGTATTTTAATTTGTAAACATTGTCAATGGAGGGGAATAATGAGATAAGGTTAGTTTGTATTGCGTATACACTTAGAAATAAGAACGGAGTACTGTGCAATGTCATGTGCAATGGCAAATATTTTCCTCACTACCAGAAAAGCAAAGTGGCACTTGCTTAACGAGTTGAGGGAGATATTTACTTTTTTTCCCATCTACCATATGCAAGGCTAAGGTGCTAGTTGGTGGAAAACCTTGGCTGAGATAAGCACATTTATATTCTGCTGATTTCCACTGTAGTGTTAAATATGGTTAATCAGCTATGTACTTAACCATAGCTGGATCAGACAGGTAGGCTGCAATATGACACTGAAGCTCTGCATTAAATAGTAAATATCCTCAAGATGGAGGAAGTAATGTTTTATAGTTGTTGTTGGCATAAATTGATGTTTTCTGCCTGAAACCCATCTGGATGATCACTCTGTAATTAATCTGTTCTGTAAGCTGGCTCTTTATGCTCTCTTGCTTCCCCATTCCCCCTTTTTTATATTCACACTTTCTTCAAACAGTTTCTAGTCTTCAGAAGCTTTGAAAGTTTCTCAGGAAGGACTTTTTGATTGCTGAGAGCAGTCCCTTATGGCTGAGCTCATCAGGCTGGGATGAAATAACCATCTGAAAGGCTTAGCACTTGGAAGTTTTAGAACAGAAAATTCATTGATGATACATAACAACACAAATACTGCATGAATGTATTGTGGCCTAGTTACCTTTTGTTAGACCCTCATTGGGATATGCAGACCCTTCACTATTACAAGATAAATGTAAAGGTTTCCCCTATCCAGTTGTATCTGATTCTAGGGGGCAATGCTCATCTCTGTTTCTTAGCTGAAGAAACCAGCATTGTCTGAAAACACTTCTGTGGTCATGTGGCTAGCATTTGCATGTTTTCGAACTTTTAGTTGGGCTGGAGCTGAGGCAAGTAACAGGAGCTCCACCCCGTCACACAGCACTTGGGTCTTGAACCTGAGCTCTCAACTTTCCAGCTGACAAGCTCAGCGTCTTTAAGTGCTGAGCCGCCGTGCCCCCTATTACAAAATACCAATTTAGAAAAGAGATTGTATGCCTGTAGGCAGCATGTATCTAGAAATGCTTACTCAATGTTGAAGTCATCATTTGAGTTCTCCAGAGTTAATTTCAATTTTCTGTATGTCAGGGATATATAGTGGATGGTTTAAGAGAAGTTTGGATACCACAGTTTCAGAGTCTTCCAAGGCGAGTCATATGACTTCACCTTGCCTTTCATCTGATGGCCAACATACCCAAATCTGATGGCATCCTCCTTTACCAGTGACCTGAGGCTATAAGATTGCAGCTTGAAACAGCCATGAAATTAATTTTAAAAGGAAAATCAAAAGATTGAAGGAGGAAAAAAAGCAGTTTTTTTCATAACTTCTATGAGTTTCGCTATTTTCTAACTTTGTCTTCTTAGATTTTTTTTATTTTTGTATCTTTTATTTAGTCTCATATGTTGATGTACACCTGCAGAGACAGGTGGATTAAAATAAATTTTATCCATTATCCGATCAACTTGATTCAGTCTGCCTGAATGAATGTGTGTGTGTGTGTGTGTGTGTGTGTGTACACCTCTGTTTGTGTGCACTCGTGTATGATTATTCTACCTCAATTTGAATTTCAAGGCAGTGTTCAATAATTTTTTAAATGCAATGTTTTGTTAAAAAGAAATACAAAATTAATTTTGAAATGATAGATTACATAGATTAAAACGAGGAAAATGTTTATCAGTTAAATAGTTTCCTGTGCCAAAATATGCAGGAAGTAGTTCAGTAGAGATGCCAGGTTGGAACTAAATAACTAAAAGCCGCGCAGAGAGAGAGATATCTGAGTACGTGTGATTTTCATCCACTTGCAGAAAATAACTCTAGTAACACATTTTAGGAATGTTTCTAAAATGTTTTCCCCTTGTTATAGTTATAGTGTGTTTCATAATAAGTAAGTATAGGATTTTTTTGTTAATAATGATCAGTGTTTAGCTTTGGAGATTTGTATTACTGATTTCTACTTAAGAAACTTCTCTCTTCACTTGTTCCTGACTTTTATTTATGCTGACCTACCCACCTTGGTAGATACATGGAAAAGCTTCAGGAAAATCAGCAGATGGACAGAATTGGATACAAACCTTGTTAATAGTATCAATGATACTTCAATGTATATAAATAACTTCATATATTCTGATGTACAAAAAAAAGCAATGTTGTTTATGTATTTCAAATGATAGTCCATGCTTAATTCTAATTAAGGATTTTTTTTTCTCTTCCTTCTTAGCCTTTTGCCTGTGTTTATATGTGGAGTATTTTTCCTGAATATTTTCAGAAAATAAGTTTATCTTCTCTTTAATGGCATGTTTAGTGGGCTTTAGTCCTGATAAATGACCATTTTGTAATGGGACTGTACTAAAAATAACTTTTGAAAATAAAAAGAAAATATTATTTTAAAATGCTTTCATATTACCACTTTATGAATCCTTTCCCCCACTCTTTTATACAGAATCTGGTCTTTTTGGTGTTCCACTCTTGGTTTTGCTAGAACATGATCAAAAGAGACTTCCAAGTATCCGGACACCATTTATCTTTCAAAAAGTAAGTAGGCTGACTGGTGTTCTTTCACTCTACTTCTTGAGCTTTGGGATTGAGTCCTGAAAGATACTCCATGTAATACTGATTTTTTTTTAAAAAAGCTAATATTTTATTATCTAGCATAATATTTTTATTAAGTATGGCATCTTCCCTTTTTATGTCTGATGCCTTGATAAAATTCTTTCTGCTCTCTGTAGATCAGTGGGCAAGTTAAACAAGTTATTCTTATTCTTATCTTCTTTTCTTGTATGCTCACACAATCATCAGTTATTATTACAAAGAATTGTGTCTTATCTGAGAACGATTTTGCCAGAATTTTTCAGATTAAACCAAAATCACATGCATGTTTCTTAACCTTTGTAGAATAAAAGAGTGGAGAAAAGTGGGGTCCCTCATCTTGCTTAAATAGCAAAGGGAAATGAGGGGGAAGGGACCTTTGCCCAGCTTAGGCTACTGCACCAATTGTAGTCCTGCCTGGACCATGGTGTCCTGGTGATCATAATACAACTTAGACCAGTGGTTTTCAACCTTTTTAATGCCGCGACCCCCAAGCGGTCGTAAGTCGAGGACTACTCAACTGGTGCAGCACCGTTTGCAGACTGGGGCTTTTGGCGGGCTCAGCAGGGCAGAGACAGACTGGACAATTCCTATTGGCTTTTGAAAGCCAATAGAATTAGACTCTATTCAAGAGAGTCTATTCTATTGGCTTTCAAAAGCCAATAGAATAAAAGGGAATAGCACAGCTAAGGAAAAGGGGAAAAAAATGGCGGACTGCGTTGTTTGGCGACCCCTGTGAAATGGTCGTTCAACCCCAAATGGGGTCCCGACCCACAGGTTGAGAACCACTGACTTAAACACTATGTGATTAGATTACTGCAGTGTACTCTTATAGGACAATTGTTGAGAAAAATTCAGAAGTTGCAATTGATCCAAATGCAGCGATTAGACTGCTGGCAGGATCACCTCACCACTGCAGAGTCACATGGATTTTGGTATCACTGCATGAACTATTAACAATCTCCAGGCCTAATTCAAAGTTGGCTGCTACTACAAAGCCATACATGGTCTAGCACCAGGTTACATCATACACTGCCTTGTCTTAGTTGGTTTGGGTACCTCAAGGGGCCTATTGGCAGTCCCATTTCCCTGAATTATATGGATCTTGGGCAAATTGTGATCTTCTCTCTCGGCCTCCATTTTTTTGCCATATGCTTTCCCTGGAGCTGTATATGGTAATAACACATTCCTCAAGGCAATGAAAACATACCTGTTTCATCATGCATTTGGCAGTAGCTGATTGATTCTGGCAGGTATAAATGAAACGAAGAAGAAATTTGTAAACTGGCATCAAGTTAGATGCAATATCCAGAACTAATGTAAGCTGGGCAATACTCTTACTGTCTCTGTGTAAATATTTTATATTTTATATCCACCCTGGGCTAATACGTAAAGATAAAAATTCTGCACTCAAGCCATCATTAGCAAGAAGTCTCATGGAGCAAACCTGTTGTGCACTTGACTAAATGCATTTGATTGAGTACGTATGAACTGAGATTCTCTTCTGCATATAATTTTTTTTCATTGATTAATATCTATGCAAACAGATCTCTACTCCATCCCAATAAATTATTTTACCTGAGTCAGGAATGGGAAGGAGGCCAAAGCAGAAAGCAGGATATGAATTTCAGAAATCAATGAATAAAGTCCATATTCCCTGATGTGAGGTGGGTGAGGTATTAGCTCTTCTCCAAATTGATTCTGGATAAATGTCATTTTATGCACATGTGTTACAATAATAACACATATGTCTTTTTAGCCTAAAGACATCCTGTAGTTGTGGTATTGAAAAAAAAGAGCATGAAATAAGGGAGGCATATATGTTGAAATTGTTATGACAATAACAATCTTTTTACTGTTTCATGATATGTCTGCTTCTTGAGCTGTTTTCCATTTTTATGTTCAGCTCATTTCTCAGATAGAAGAGGGAAAACTGGAAACAGAAGGATTGCTTCGAATACCAGGAGTTGCTGCTAGAGTAAAGGTAAAATGGCCCTTCAGCTTAGGAAAATAGTGCTGTGTTCTCTACCAGTGTTCTGTTCTTTGTTTATATTTGAGAAGGTGTGCTCAGTAGCAAGATTCAAACTCAGATCTTTCCATCAACTTGTAACTTTTACCTATTCATTCTAAATGACATAATAGAGGTGGATAGAAGCTATAGAACAGATTGTCTGCTTGTCAAAATTTATTTTATGACTTTCAGAACTGACTTGTTCAAAATTATAGATTTTATATGAAAATCAAGACTATACATCTACATTCACACATACACACACACAAGCACACAAATATATAAAATTACTTTAAAGATGTTTCTGAATTAAATTAAGGAGTGGCGCTGAAGAAATCAATTCCCTGTCATTTACTTAGATGTTGTCCTCTGTACTGTTGCTTTCTCCCTGGGTACACAAGGTTTTTGCAGTTGTTTTATTACTGCTTTTCTAATAACTCATCATCCTCTGTCATATTTTGAAACCAATTTTATTTCTGTAGCTTTCTAAAATTCATAAAATGTGAACTTGAAACAAAAGCTGCAAATTGGACAAGTAGGTTACGCAATTTAGAAATACATGCACAATCTAAGGGGGTGAGAAATGGATTCTTGTCGACTTGGAAAATGGCTGAACTAAAACAAGATATGAAATGTGCATTTTATGCAGTGCTTTGAGGGAGGATCAGCAAGTAGCTTTGAGACAACATATTAAAAAAGGAGACATCAGGCAGAAGTTACTTCTCTTAGGCTACCCAAATTATATCCAAATCCCTTGTAAAATATTGTCAGAGGAGGATTTGATCTGGGATAAAGAAGACAGGTAATATAATTGAGGTACTGGTCTTCATAACATAGAAAGGTGTTTTATATCAAGCTGGAGCATTGCTCCATCTTGTCCCAATGGATTATCTGTTTTGATTGTTAGGGCTTCAGACAGGCATTTTTGCAAATGCCCCAAGGATGGAAAACTGTATATATGGCCTTTGGGCTAAGATCAAAAGCCTTCTGCAAGACATCTGCTGCTGCTTGGAGCAGAATGTCACAAACATAAAATGAGCTTGGGCTGAAAAAGGGAACTGGAAGTCTTAAGAAGAGTTAGAAAAAAAGATAGGGACCAGCAGTATCTCCAAAAACTGTGTCAACATCTGTAGTCAGGCATTTCAAAGTCTTGTTCCTGTTGTATGTGCAGTGGACTTTTGATATTGATGCCGTACCTACTATCTTGTAGATTTAAACTTCCCTTGTATAGATGCTATTTTTCTGGTCCCACCCATAACTTGCTTGCTGGGTAGCGTTGCAGAAGATACATCTAAGAGAATGTGGCCTGTTGACCACCCCTGTTCTAGAGTAGAACCAAAATACATCCACATTTTAATTATTTGAAATTTTAAGGAATGAATTCAGAAGTATCTCCACATAATTGTTTTTAAATTTCAAAACAGGATATGTGTGTGTTTTGTTGTTGTTGCTGCTAACTAAAAGGATTTTTGGACAACCTCTTCTTATGGACACTATTACTGTGAAGAAGAAAAGACAAATGAACTATGGTTGAAATGAAAATCCAGTCTTTTGATGCATATGGCATTGCATACACAAAAATCACAACATACATATTTTTAGTGCAATGTTTGAAAAATCCTGGGAAGTATAGTGGTACACTGATGTATAAGAGGGAGGAAAATGACACAGTTGGTTAGATTTTATGCGCTGTTTTTTCCATGAAGGTTGTAAACTACAATATTTTTAAATATGAAATGCTACCCTCAGCACCTGCGTTTCTTTCTCCTGTGTCACATAGAACCTTTGCCAAGAGCTAGAATCAAAATTTTACGAAGGGACTTTCAACTGGGACAGTGTCAAACAGCACGATGCAGCCAGCCTTCTAAAATTCTTCATCCGAGAATTGCCACAACCCTTATTCACTGTGGAGTACCTTAAGGCTTTCCAGGATGTGCAGAGTAAGTAGATTTGGGGGGGGGTTACTGTTAGGAGATTATGCAGAGTCACATGCTGAGCATACAGGATAAACAGGGCTCAGCTCAGCCTATGAGATGCATAGATTGGGCAACCACCGAAACCTACTGTGTGCAGTTAATCTTTATTGAATATAGGTCTCAGATTTCTAGTTTCTAAATGTCCACTGAATGAATAGGCTTCGAAGCCAGGAGAATGATGTAAGAGATCAGTAAGCCAGTAGTAAGAGACTTCTGATTATTTGTTCCTTTTCCTCTGAAAGTCCAGTACCACATCCCAAATTGACCCCAGCTCTCTGGAGCAGATTAACAGGCAAAGTTAGGAGCTTCCAGAAGGAGGAATCATCATAAATGATCTTTCTCCTCATTCTACTGTAAGGAGCCTCTGCTGAATTAGGGAGTGCCCTTCAATCAAAGAACATTAACTGTCCCATGAAATAGCAGCAAAACAAAACAAAGAACTCCCTACATCTGGAAACAGATGCACAGAATTATCTCTATTCATAAATGCTCCTTACTGGTTAGTATAGAATAGGCAGGGGCATTTGCAAAGTGTAATTGCAATGATAATTTATTGCAATACAAAATGTGCTACATTATAAATTCTTGGAAATAATACAGAATTACAGATCCCAGCACCTATTGCCAAAATGTATGTTGGCTGGGGCTGCTGAGGGTTGTTGTAGTTATCAGTTGCTGGGGAGTCATAAGATATTCTTACACTTCCTGTAGGAGGCCATTTAGGTCCCTTTTGAAAATGATAAATCTTTTAAGAAAAAGTTAAGATGAGGCAGCTGTAGGCTTTGAGCAATTCCATAGTGATTTTTCCTCCCACCCCTTCTTTTGGTTACATGTACCCTTGTCGATTGCTGAGCCTTGTTCACAGTCTACAACTAATGTGATATGATTTTCCAGATACTTCAGTTACTAGCACTGGAAATCTGTTTGCATTTTTTTCCTCCCTCCAGAGAAGGAGGTTCAAAGGAAGCTGGAATCCACATTCCAATGAGTTCATCTTGTATTTGTGGGTATTTTTTCCCATTGGAGAGAATTTTGCCTCTCCTCCCATTTAGTGCTTTCCTCAGCCTAATTAGGGACAAAGCCCTTCAGTGCAGTTTTGGATAATGGCATTCTCATACTGTTTATTGCCATGCAATTCTCTTGGGATTTGTGGGATAACACACTTTCCAATGTTTGCTAGAATGTTGTTTACAAAGTTTATCTGGCACTATGATCAACAGAAGATTTTGGGCTTCCAAGGGTAATATTTTTATTCACTCTTTGCAACCATCTCTATAGGAAATTGTTAGAGAAATTTACACAAATTAATGTGGATAAATGCATGGAATATGTTGGGTTAGGGGAAACTAGAAACAGATTTGTGGAATTTTTAGTGCTCTTTGAGCTTGATTATTTGCTGGCAGATATTTCATTACCTGACTAGGTAACATCTTCAGTGCTAGAAAGAAGTTTAGTCTATGTTTATAGGCAGTAACATGCCTTGACAAGGTTGGTGGGGGTGTTGTTTTCTCCTTGCTTCCTTGACTAGATTATTGTTTATTGCTTGATTGTTCAGTGTTAATCCATGCATATCTGGATGTTGATTGCTGGAGAGGAGATATTCTGATGTTTTTGTTTTTTTCTTAGCTCTTTTAAGTCTCTTTTGAATGCTGTGTAAATATGGTTTATTTCTATGTGTCTGTTAATGGCTGATTTGTCTGAATACCAAGCTTCTAGGAATTTCCTAGCATTTTGGGATTTAGCTTGGTCTAAAATGCTATTGTTTAGTCTGTTGTGTTGTGATATTAAGGACTTTTCATTGTGTCTTCTGATTGCTACTTGGTGTTCTTGTATGTACTCTGGTAGTCTTCTGCCCATCTGTCCTACAAAGTGGATGTTACAATCCTTACATTGTATGTTGAAGAATGTAGATGATGCCTGTTTTTAATTTTTAGGCTACCATATCTTTTGGTTTACTTAAGATGTTTTGAAGAACTTTAGTTAGTTGTCTGTTACAGTGATGCTGTACAGTTGTAATTGCCTGTTGGTTATTTCTGAGATGCTTTTGATGTATGGTAGCGTTAAGCACTTTTTCATGAGGTTGCATGGGTATCCATTTTGTTGGAAGATGTATAGTATAGATCAGGCATGTCAAACTTGCGATGTCACGTGATGTCTTCTCATTGCCAGCAATGGGGTGGGCATGGTTTCGGCATGACGCTTCCGGCCTGTGGGCCGGCAGTTTGACATGCCTGGTATAGATGGTCTGTTTTCTTTTTCTGGTTACTTCATTTTCATGTCTGTGCTCATCTAAATAATATTCTTACTCAGCTTCACTTGTGGGAGTTTGGGCTGTTACACCAAGGATTCCACAGTTCAATCCTGTGCTACATACATTCTCTTCTATTAAGGACAGATTTGATTTGCTTTTTTTGAGAACTAAAGTTAATTAATATTCACAGAAGACTGGAAGCTCTAGAGCAGTGGTTCTCAACCTGTGGGTCGGGACCCAATTTGGGGTCAAACGACCATTTCACGGGGGTCGCCAAACAAGGTTGTCCGCCATTATTTTCCCTTTTCTTTGGCCATGCCCCTGGCACCCGGTGATGTATAAGTGGTTGGGGGTCACCACAACATGGGGAACTGTATTATGGGGTGGCGGCATTAGAAAGGTTGAGAACCACTGCTCTAGAGACAGCATAGTCTTGGCCAGTTTGAAAGAGGATGTTGATTGGCTGAGGTTCTCTGCTCTCAGCAGTTGGCTAACTCAGAGTAAGTCGAGATTTGCTAAAGATGCTTTCTGCAAATTCCAGATCCACAAAATTATATACAGTACCTAATTTCTGAATCTGTTTGAGATCTACACTTCATGGGAAAATCATGAGTTATTTTGGTAGTATGTTGAGAATTATTAACAAATGAGGAAGCTGGGTGTGGCAGGATCTTTTTATTTCTAGAGTTACATGTTAGTTTCAGCTATAGATGCTATCTTTTTATTGCCTTATCGGCATTTGTTATATTAGCTCCTTCAGTGAATTAAAGGGAGACACTGAGTAATTTGTATTAAGACATAGTTATTTGTTTACATTAATCTCTAAAACATCTGCACCATTCTGTCAGACTTAGAATATACATAATCTATACTGTGGGGAAAAAAGCAATGAGTAAGAGTGTTTTAAGGTTGATTTATATCTGATTTCCTCTGTCTGCATGACTGGTTTTCAGAACTTCATGGTTATCCTCATTGTTTGTACATGTAGATATTTTCTGTAATTGGTAAGGGAATTTACTGTGCGTATTTTCAAATTTGCTTAGTTTCTATCCTGAAAGCTAGGTTATACAGTACATAAAAATATTAAACAAAATATATGCTGAGAAAAATTTAAGCATCATGAGCATTGCTGATAACAGCATTGCTGTTGGCTCCATTGCTGATAGTTTAGCAATCATGCAGAAATTTGGTATTCCTGGACCCACATCATAACTTATTTGGTATGTATTAATGCTAATAATTTGCTTAGGAAATACCGCTGTATTTCACTGAGTATCATAAACTCCCTCCAATTCATATGCATAAATGGTAGATACATCTGGGAAGGTGTTCTCTTTTATCACATATTTTTATATCAAGGAAGTATTGCCCCATAAAAACAAAATAGCTAAAAGAGGTTGCCATTATTTGAGATCTCTTAAATCGCTTGGTAGTTGAGTCATGAAAAACATGAATATGGAGCTTTTGTCAATCTATTGCCATAATTTGAATCTTTCACAGCATTTCAGTAAGGTTAATTATATAATTTCGTGTCCTGTAATGTCATTGAGGAAAATACAAAATCATTCCAAAATTGATATGCTTGCACATTTCCTTGGCAGAGCTTCCAACCAAGAAACATCAGCTTCAAGCACTGAATCTTTTGATTCTTCTTCTCCCAGAGGGAAATAGAGATACACTCAAGGTTAGACTGTTGGTCTTATTTTTAAGTATTACAATTGGTAATTGATGATTCCAGAATAAAAGTTTGCTGGTTAAATTAAAAAAAAAAAAGACTACATGTTCTGAGCAGCCAGGTCTGCTGCATGTTGTTCAGTTGGGATCAGAATGATTTTGGAGACATAAAATTAAGATGTTCAGTTTGGAATATGGAAATTCAGTGAACAAAAAAAGAAACTAACCTGGTATTTTTTGCCTACAAAAGAAGTAATCAAGAAGGACAAGATAGAACCAATTATCTTAAAAGGTGGTAATTTTTTTTCTTTCCATTCTCTTGTAGTAGAGGATAGACAACCCCATCTTAAAAGGATAGTTCCAGCATGTATTTCCTGCACTGAGTTGTGGGATGAGGTGGGGGAAGTTATATTAAAATGGCCCTGCATTCTAGTTGCCATTTTTTTTTTGTATAATTCACCCAAGGGCTTCAGACTGCAGCAGAATAATTGGCAAGCACATAGGCATTGCAAGGCCGACATAAATAAAAATGGGACAATCTGATAGCGTGACAATTGCTGTGATTGGTTAACCCATATATCCTCTAAAATAAAAGCTACTTTAGTCCCTCTGTTTGTCATATTACTAAAATAGTTAAACACTTGATATTGATTTTGGGCATCACATAGTTACACCACCAAAGAAGTGTACGTGATGCACTTCATAGATGCAATTAGCCATCTTTTTTAAATAGGCTACTTGAATGCAAAGATTATTCATATAGCTACTTTTGAAATGGTGCTCTTGTTTTTAGGTGCTGCTTGAATTTCTTCAAAGAGTGATCGATCTTCGAGATAAAAACAAGATGAACCTCAAGAATGTTGCCATGGTTATGGCTCCAAACCTCTTCATGTTTCATGGTTTGGGTGCCAAGCCCACAGAACAAAGCGAGTTTGTTATGGCAGCTGGGACAGCAAATGTCATGCGCTTTATGATTAAATACCAGAATCTTCTTTGGACTGTAAGTTTGCTTTTGTTAAAAAGTGAGCGTTACTCTGAAAGAATCGTCACAGAAGTAGTGGGCCACCATTTTTCTGTCTTGGAGACAATGCAGTTCCTTTTAAAATTCTATAAATGCTGTATTAATTATATGTGAGTTTGAGGGAAAAGATGCCATTTTTATTTATTTATACAAAGACCAAATGAATGTCCATCCAACTTTAGAAACAGGTTGGTTTTATTTGTTACCATATTAATCAACAATCCAGAAAAAAAATAATCCAGTTTTATTTAATGCATAATATATTTCCCTCCTGGAAATATTTACAAAATAAGTTATTATGCACTGGGTTCTTTAATTTGATTATTCTTTCTTCACACAATTCTTCCAACTTTGTAAACTGTTTTGTTTTTCACAGGAAACGATAACCTTATTAATTGAATTTAGCATACTTTATACATAGTCCTTGATGAAAACAATCACATTTTTCTTTCTAGAAATATACTCATGTAAAGCTGTTTAAGAAAAGATAGTCAGTGACTGAATCCTTTTGCTTATGAGATATTTTTTTATTGAGTTTCATCATGATGGGAGTAGTTGCAGTTGAGATTTAGAATAGAATAGAGCTGGATGGGACCTTGGAGGTCTTCTAGTCCAGCCCCCTGCTCAAACAGAAGAACTTACACTATTTCAGAAAATGACAGTCTAGTCTCTTCTTAAAAATCTCCAGTGATGGAGCGCCCACGATTTCTGAAGGCAAGCTGTTCCACTGGTTAATTGTCCTCACTGTCAGGAAGTTTCTCCTTAATTCCAGGTTGCTTCTCTCTTTGATCAGTTTCCAACTATTGTTTCTTGTCCTGCCATCTGGTGCTTTGGAGAATAACGTGACCCCCTCTTTTTAGTGGCAGCCCCTCAAATACTGGAATACTGCTATCATGTCTTCCCTATTTCTTCTTTTCTTTAGACTAGCCAAGCCCAAGTCCCGCAGCTGTTTTTCGTATGTATTAGTTTCTAGGCCTTTGATCATCTTAGTTGCTCTTCCCTGATTTTTTTTCCAAACTCTAAACGTCTTTTTTGTGATATGATTGGCTGCAGTATTCCAGGTGTGGTCTTACTAGGATTTTATAAAGCGGTACTAATACTTTGTGTGATCTTGATTCTGTGCCTCTGTTCATACAACCCAGGATTGTATTAGCTTTTTTTGTGGAACTGTGACTTGCACAGAAAGGCCAGGTGCAATTGTTTAAGATATCATGGCATCTGGAACCGAGGCTGTTGGTTAGAGGCACAAGGCAGACTCTTTGTACTTAAGATAGAATATATATCACTCCACTGAGTGTGTAGCAATTTGATCCTGAAATAATACATTTTGTTTTAAACAGGAAACTTCCCTGGTACTGAACATAAATGCATCTGTTGTTCATTTTAGTTGCTTTGTTATTGGAAAGCTTCCAACAGATGTTTACCAGTGTCTTAAGGGAGCAATAGTAATGTTGCAATAAAACATGCTGTCTGTCTGCATAGATTCCTACGTTTCTTGTGAACCAAGTAAGAAAGCAGAACGCTGAAAGTCAGAAAAAGGAGCGAAAGGACAAAGCCATGAGGAAACTTCTGAAAAAAATGGCCTACGATCGAGAAAAACATGAGAAGCAAGATAAAAGTATCGGCGATCAAAAGAGCGGCAATGATGTGAGCAAACACCTTTTAACAAAAGTCCACAGTTCCCACTTTAGGTGGACGAGACCAGGGGTCCTCAACCTTAGCAACTTTAAGCTTTGCTGGTTGAGGAATTATGGGAGTTGAAGTCCACAAGTCTTTAAAGTTGCCAAGGTTGAGGACCCCTGGACTAGACCCTCCAAAGCAAAAAAAGTTGTATCTCATGTATTTAACTGTAGAAGTTGCCTGTAGGAAAATTGCTTGATTGTGGTTGCTCTTAACTGGAAATCTCTCAGTCATACCTGTGCACTTTCTTACAATTTTTAGAATTCAAATCGCCACCCTAACCTGAACAAAGAAGAGAAACTAATCCTTACATTGTGAGCAGTTGTACTACTGGCACATTTGGAAGTTATGAAATTGGGGAAATGCTGGTATAATCTGCTTGTACCTGAAAGAATTATACAGCTACCCAGGACACAATGAGTCTTTTTATTGCTCAACCATGCTATTGGGCTTAAAGATTAAACTATTAGTACAGTCTCAAAATAAAACAGTGTTAAATACTTAAAATATAGTCATTGCAAACATACTGTATGTTCTAAGCCAGACATGTCAAACACAAGGCCTGGGGACCGGTTGCGGCCCGCGAAGTGGTTTCATGTGGCCCACGAAGCCATCCTGAAATAGTGAGACAACGGCCCCTGCTGCCGTGGCCCTGGCCCAGGCTGGCTGGGAGCCAATGTACAATTTTGTGGTGGCCATCTATGCTGAAACGCATTTAGTCTTAGCTCCACAAGGCCTTCTAGAAACAGCGAGGAATCAGCCCCTGCCGTGTCGGCCCAGCCTCCTGGGTGCATGCTGGGGAGGTGTCACCCTTTGTGAGGGATGAAGAAATGGACCATGCCTTGGCGCTTGCCCTGGTCCCACCCCCTTCTGCCAGAGACCCTCAGATCTGTCCCACTCCTGCCCAGGCCCCCACAGCCACCCTTGACGCGAACAATGTAGAACTGGCCATGTCCACCCAGTAGGCCACACCCACTCCATCCACGCCCACCCAGTAGGCCGCACCTACTCTGGCCACACCTATCCGGCCCCCCAAGGGCAACCGCAATGCTGATGCGGCCCTCAGTGAAATTGAGTTTGATACCCCTGTTCTAAGCAAACTTCAATTTTCTTTAGCTGTTCAGTCATCTTTAAAAATCAAAACTGTTGCTAGAATATATACTTTTAAAAAAAAATCTGGATAGCTTTAGATAATGATATCTGTTAAAATATCAACATGCCCTTAACATGATGTATAACAGAAAACCAGCCAAATCTAAAAATAAATATTGCAAATATTTATTTTTCTGAATATAGATTTTCTTTCGATTAATCCACATTTTCTAACTGAATATTTACAATCTTAGTGGATTGGAGCCATCTTGTGGACACATTTAGAATTAAGCATTTTTTTTCTATTGAAAACAAATTAGTCTTTCATTGTGATGGAAATAGTCATTTTTGATTCTGTGGACTCAGAGCAGGAGTGGATACCTGATAGCCCCAGTTACATAGCTATTTTATGGCCCCCAACTGTGGTCTTCAATTATTATTAAAAGTTTGCTTAATTTTTTCAAAAATTCTCCCAATTTAAGAGAAAACCTGGCAGCAATCCTAACTCTCCATGTCTACATGTTCTGGTCCTACCCCCTTTGCATCATCTCTCCTTTTTTCAGCTCCCTCTTTCCTAAAATGTATTAGGCAGGGGTCTTGGCAACTCAAAGTTGGCCCATCCAGGTAAGAGAAAGACACTTACTTGGACATAATGTAAATTTGCATGTTTCTCTGTTGTTTGAAACTTATGATTCTGTTATTGAATTCCTTACTCTTAATTCAAAGACAACTTGAAATTCCATGTTTTGACTTCTGTTCTCTGCATTCCTTCTATTTTGTAATAACATTTCTGTTTTCCTATATAGGTAGTTCTCAAGTTACAACCATTCATTCAGCAACTGTTCAAAGTTATGGAGGTGCTTAATGAATGGTACTTACACCCAGTCTCCAAAGTTATGGCTGCTGCTAATGCCTCTGTGATCATAGGATCACAATTCTGGCACTTAGCAACCTGCCTGCATTTACAGTCTTAGGAATACCTCAACGCTTCCTACCTGTCTATCTCCCCCTCCTCCCTCTTCCATTTCTGCCCTTTTGGCCTCTCTGCATAGTAGTACTTAGTGGTGGTGGCAACAGGGCTGTAATAGAGGCTGGGGCCTTTGCTCTACTTCAGCTCCAGAGCTACCACTGCTGAGAAATGCTGCCTCAAGCCCCATCCTGTGGCCAGCCACCACGGCACCATAGTGCCAAGCCTTATTTCTTCTGATGCCAGTGAGGAACACCTGGCCTGGCCCTATGCAAGGGAGCTGCTGGTTGTGCCAGGATTTTCCCCCCAAGGCTGCTTGTGCCACTTCCAAATAGAAGAGAAAGAGGACCAAGCCTGGCGCATCTCAGCTGTGGGAAAAAGATGGCTACATTGACCTGGGGGCGGCAGGGCCGGTGGGATGGCAGGGCGAGCAAGTGCAGGGCAGCAAGGGCTGGATGGGTGATAGAGTGAGCTGAGCATAGGGCAGAGGGGCCAGCAGGACAGAGACAATAGAGTACAAAGTGACCAAAGGGCAGAGATGGGGAGAAATAGGTAGCTGTGAAGTGTAAGCAATCCCTTATCTTACAAGGCGTGAGGCTGGGATGGAATGACTTGGATTGGGATGGGTCCTTGCCTAACAACCAGTGGGATTCAGTTAATGACAGCAGTGGGGACCGCTGGCTTTGCTGTTGCCTAGCAATGCATCACGTGACACTGTGTTGTACAACTATATCGCTTAGTGGAATTTCTGAGTAGGATATTCCAGTCCCAATTACTGCTGTAACTCAAAGACTACCTACATCTTTAAATCATTAAAATATCTAGCTTACACCTGTTCCAATGCTTGCTTTCACATTCTGACATGCGGAACCAGGCTGAAAGTAGTGCGCAGTGATTCGTTAGAGTTATGCCCTATATCTTAACATTTGTATAAAATGCTGTGTGGCACATGTTGAAATTTAAACAATGGGTTTCTTTTATACTGGAATATAAGATAACCTCTTTCTGAATATGAAATTTGAAATCACACACTTGGATATTTTGGAATTATTATACTCTTATCAGAAGGGGAAATGGCATTTGGTTAGAAAATTAAAACTTGATCCACAAGTGCTTTTTAAGAGTGTAATATTCTAAAATGAAGGGTTCCCCCCCTTCATTACAGAACAGGATCTTATGAATATATAAATGAGTTAGCTCAAATGCAGGTTCCTAACATGTAGCTTGTAAATTGGTGGTTAAAAATCCATCATCCTATCTGTGAACAAGTATGTCCCATTGTTCTGAAAAAGAGAATTTAAAAATATTTGAATTTTGGTAAATTGCACCATAGATGAGGAAACAGATAGCTTCTGCTTTTCACAGGACAAAATGCCAGATTTGAGCATTCAATCTGCCAGTTTGCTCATTCATTCCGCACAGATTTGGAAAACCTTCCCAAAGCCAGCTACAAGGTGCTGTGTTCCAATTTCATTATTGTATTGCAGGCCGATATTCCAGAGGGAGTAATACGGGTTCAAGCACCTCATCTTTCCAAAGTTTCCATGGCAATTCAACTGACGGGAGAGCTAAAAGCTGGTGATATCATTGCCAGGTTCCTCAGCCAGAAAAGGTACAAGCCTGTCTGCCTTTCTCTCTCTGTCTACCAAGCCTGCCATTTTATGAAATGTTAACTTTGAATTCTGCCACAGGAGGGGATGGACGGAGGTAATGGATTTTCTCCAGAGGATCAGTGACTGACCTTGCAAGTAAGGGGGGAAAAAAATCAATGAAAAGAAACTTTTTTAAAAAACCAACAGCCGTATGGTCGGTTGGCACTGCATGTGGAAGGAATCACCAAGATATCCACTGTAGGACCTCATCTATATTTAAAGTGTTACCTGGCTGAAGAATTGCACCAATGTTGCTGAGCTGTTTTTTTCTACATAGTATTAATGAAAAGAGGAGGCTGAGATAGAAAGGAGATTTTTTTTTAACCCCTTAAGAATAATTGTGCCAATGCAAAACAGATTTTGAATTAATTTTCACTTGTGATGAGTTCATGCAGGCATTTGAATCCAGACGTTCCACTATAGCAGTGTTTCCCAAACTTGACAATTTTAAGGCATGAGGACTTCAACTCCCAGAATTCCACAGCCAGCAATGCTGGCTGTGGAATTCTGGGAGTTGAAGTCCACATGCCTTAAAATTGTCAAGTTTGGGAAACACTGCACTATAGAAACAGGAGACTTTCCTTCTTGCCCTGGCCTGTTGATACCCACACTTTTAAAGGGGACTGTGGAATCCCCAATAATGCTCTGCTTTTCTCCTGGGAAACATGCGAAAGACCTTGGCTCCCTCTTTACATGCAGTGGGATCTTTTGATCTGCACTCCTTATTTTATGGAAGAGTTACTTCATCGCAGGGTGTCAGGTTGCTCTCGTGAATATACAGTATTCATTTCTAGTGTCTCTTAGATCTTTAAATTGCTCCATAACCTGAAGCATTACAAGATTCTCAAGAGTATAAATAATCTGCTCTCCAGGATTTAAATATGCAGTTCCATTGTTGGTTTTGTCAAATAGAAGTGGATGATCTGCTTCATTTCTGAAACAAGGCAGCCAAGCTGGCTTTAGCATAAAATCTGGCATGTATATAGGTAGCCCTGAGGTACAGGTTGATTCTTGCTTAATGATCACAACTGGGACTGGCAATTCTGTTGCTAAGTGACATAGTCATTAAGTGAGACATCATCAGCCTGCGACAGACTTACAACCTCACTTTGGCCATGGTCATTAAATGAACCCTCTGGGGTCTTTAAGTGTGACATATGTGACTATAACTTGCAATTTTACTATATGTGACTCTAACTTGCCATCTCTATTGATTCTGCTTGTTGAAAGTTGGCTGTAAATGTGCAAATGGCAATCACGTGACCGTTGTAGATACCCATCAATTGCGGATCATGTGACTGCAGGGATACTTCACCTAACTTCAAAGGTCATTAAATGAGGCAGTCATTAAGTGAGGTCTACCTGAATTGAAAGTATAAAAGATGACTTGCCCATTCAATTTCTCAAAACAATTTCAGAACATATACTATAATGCTGGAAGTATGTAAATAAACATGAATACAAATTAATTGCATTTGTGTTAAATAGTGATATCCAGACAAAAGGTGGCAATAAAATATCCCAGGTTTTTTTTTTCAAAAAAAAAAAAAAGGCAGAATGATTACTTCTTTGTGAATATATGGATATTTTTTTCAGCTGATTTTCCTCTCTTGTAATTCAAGGTAGCAAACAGCTTCTTTTCCCATAATCATTCAAGTGTGATATGTTATTGCAGTAAGTTAACAGATGGGAAGAAATAATTTTAGTGCACTTGCAAACTCTGAGCCAGCAGGCCATTTTCTGGTGCACACTAGTAAGCTTTCAGTTGGAAATTATTTGGGATAATGACTGATCATTTTCTTAACTTTTATTTTGCCAGTGGAAATGTACAAGGTTTGAAGAAAGAAGAGTTGTTTTTACATGAAGTAGGAGGAAATATTGGTAAGGCTATTAAACTCTGCTTAGTTACAAAGGTCAAAATCGGGTGGTTTATTTGTCCTTACCAGATTATTTAGAATCATTGAGGCAGAAGTGGCACCCTACTCAGTGCAATAATTCAAAATAAAGCATTCCTGACATGCTGCTATTTAACTTCTACTTCAATATATTTGGGGAATGGTCATCCATTCTAGTTCTGGGCAATTAATTTCATTAACAAATTGTTTTTACTGTTAGGATCCCCTTCCCCAATATTCAGGAAAAAATGTGCTTTCCTGTCAACTCGCCATGGAAATTCAACCTATCAAGAGACATGCTAAAACCTTTTTTGATGGACACACAAACACTTAAATAACAGTACTGTAGGTATATGACCGCACAGCTTTAACCTTGCCCATGATATTAGCTGGTTCTAGAAAGATGGGCCTGTGGGAGTCAAAACTTACAACAAGCTGTTGTGGTTTGTCACGTGACTTTGTTCAGAGGTGGATAAGGCCAAGTGTTGATTTTATGTATCTGTAAGGCTCTATCCCCAGCAAGGATCCTGTATGAACATTGTAGTATGTAAAAGAATGACTTTTGTAGAATTTTATTTTCGGTTCCTGTATTATTTAGCAGGGAAGAAATGTTTATAGATTAGGATTTTGCTTCCCTGAGCAAATAGTTTTAGCTCCCGGACAATGGGGTAAACAGGGACCATTATACCATCTGGAGAAAGCAGGCATAGAGTGCGAAAGGGAGATTCCCAGTCCACTTATTGAGGAATATTGCACGTGCCACAATTGTTTTGCAAAAGTGGCTAGGGGCTGGTGTAGTCATGGCAATTCTCTGTATACTGTGACAGTGATGAGACCAAACAATTACTTAAATGCTTCCATTTCAGAATCAGGCAGACCTATCAACCAGAGTTAAGCATCCCTTAAAAGTGGAATAATTGCATAAAAATGTTTCACTTATAGCATGAGCAATTGAAGTTATAGTCCATATTGGTGTCTTGCCTGATTTGTGACTTTGACAGAAATAAGATCCACCCTACTCAGTGAAATTTCCTCATAAGAAAATCATTCATTGAAACCCTTATTTGGTATGTTAAGCGTTTGTATAATATGTTTCCATGACAGGTGAACGATGCCTAGATGATGACACTTTCATGAAGGACTTGTATCAGCTGAACCCAAATGCTGAATGGATTATAAAATCAAAAAATGGTTGAAGTTCTGAATCTATAAAGAGACTTTCGGCAACACTGTAATATTCAGATGCGACAGAATCAAAGGACGCTGAATTCACTTGAGACTTAGATGTGTTGCACTGTTGAGGAGTACTGTGCTACAAAGTTAGTCTCCTGCTTCTCTCAAGTAAAGGAGAGCTACTGCAGGAAAATTAATAGGACAGGAATCTTTGTGATCTCACTGATTTTGTTGGAAGGGACTGAATCTGCAGTTCTTGTTGTAAACACCACTGTGCCTTTGGTATGGTCCACTGGATTATTAATTTCTTCAGGTCGCTCGTGATGGAGCCAGCACCAATTTTCTTAATAAAGACATTTATTTAAAAGAAAATAAGAAAAGTATTTCTTCATTGGTTCAGAACATCTTCAACTGTACTTTTCTGTCATAAGATATGATGTGGTGGTGGTGGTGTAATAGGCACTATTAATATTAAGCAGGATCTATTTGTTTATTCTAGTTCAGTAACCTCCAGGAATATATTTATTGAACATAATGTGAATGATTTGATATAACTTTCTTTATTGGGTGATACTTCCCAAGATCAGTAATAAAAGTGTCAGGAAAGTGAAGAATTGCAAGAACCTGTGTCTTTTTTTTTCCTGTACATCAAAGGTAATCCTGAGGAGTTATCTATCATCTTTTAATCTTAACGAGTTTCAATTTTTTAAAAAAAAATAATTACCCCATTGATGTAATATGCAATCACGATTGGGTATTCACATTTAGCAATTTAGACCTGTCAATGAATATTGAGAATGCTTAAATGCTCCAAGTGCACTGGATATTCATTTCACTCAGTTTTTCATGGGTGACTAAGAATTCTGGGATTTGTATAGTTTATTTTTAATGACCACAATTGGGACAATATAATCCTCATTTATTGACCATTTAACTTGGTTGTTAAGTGAAGAGATCACTAAGTGAAATTATGTGATTACAATCTTATTTCAGCTTTCCTATGCTGCATAGATCTATGAAAGTTGTAAATGCATGGATTGGTTGCAAAGTTACTTTTTCATTACTGTCATAACTGTTAATGGTTGCTAAATGAGGCAATTACTACCTGTAACATCAACATACTTTGTGGATGCCAGATTGCAAAGTCTGAACTATGTGGATTTGTCAACAAATATGTGGGGTACGTATAGTCCAAGAGCTGTCTTTGCAAGCCTTTGGGTCCCAGAACACGCTTCAAACCTGTCCCCAACTTGTAAGTTTTGGTTTATTGGAAATGAAAAATCACTAAGTACATTGGCACTAATTTCATTGACTATATTTAATGTAAGTTAATTTTATACTGAAATAAATATACATTTTGGCCATTTATTCTTCCTAATGTACAGTTTTTCTTCTGGCCATTTATTTTCCTATAGTACACTTTGAAGTGTTGTTCAAAGTTTTAAGTGTGGCTCTTTGGCTAGAAAACAAAATACGCTCCTTGTCATAGAAAGATCCATGATCAATATTATATAAGCCAGGAAATTTATTTACTATGATTTATCTAAATAATGTTTATTAAGAAGGAGGGTATTGAAGTACAATAGATAGATAAATATTAACATTAATGCCTTTGAATTATAAATTCTAATCTTGATGCTTACAATGTATTGCTTTCCATTCTCGACAGATTAAGCTGACTGAAATTATACATAACTTAAAATATGGCTACCCAAAATTGAAGAAATTAAGAGAATTTATAAACATACATACAGCACGTGTATATCCCAGGCAATGATTTACCTGCTAGAAGTGGATCTCACACGAGGATGTGCCACAGTTGAATACATGACCATACAGGAATGTTACCATGGTTGGTTTTTTGTTCTTCATAAAACAAAAGTCAACAAAGCTTTACATTTTTTAGAAATACAAAACAATAATTTTCCAGAGAATTTATATAATATGAGAAAGAATACACTTTTTTAAAAAAAATATGCCTTTGTTCCTCATGATAACATTTTTACCAATGCATTGTGATCTGTTGGGTCTCTGACTTTGTCATTTGCTGGCTTCATGTATTGGCAAAGTTGTGTCTGATTTGCTATTCAGTGGCAAATAAAAAGTATGTGAGTTGCAGGGAAATTGAACTTAAATCCTTCGCTGGGATTTGGTAACTGATATTTCCTGTTAATCAAGTTCTAGTCTCCCACCATCTGTGTAAATCTAATTAATAGGAAAGCTCATGTGAACATGCCAGAAAGAGCAATAATGGTAACCAACAATAAACTTTTGCTGTTTTTGCTTTCTTTCTTTGAAGAGTGAAAATATTTGATCAATAAAGTGAAAAGATGAAAACCTAAAAAGCCAGCATCCAGTAGCTCCTTAGAATTCAGTGTTTCTCAACCTTGACAATTTTAAGGCATGTGGACTTCAACTCCCAGAATTCCACAGCTAGCAATGGAAACTATTCTATTCTATTCTATTCTATTCTATTCTATTCTATTCTATTCTATTCTATTCTATTCTATTCTATTCTATTCTATTCTATTCCATCCCTGATAGTTGAAAGGTTCTTGGCTCAACATTGTACTGTAGATATGGGTGGGAGGGAGGGAATTGCAATATAAAACATGTATTTGTTTATACTTTTATTTAATAGATTATTAAATTATCAGTTTATTTTTATATTTCTCTTTCAATTATATCCTTTAAGAATATTAAGAGGTAATTTGGTGTAGTATTAAGGTATTGGCTAGAAACCAGGAGTATGAATTCTACTTTAAGCACTTTAAGTCAGGTGGCTGACCTTGGCCAGTCACTCTGCCTCAACTCTGGGAAGGAGGCAAGTGCAAACCACTTCTGAAAATGTTGAAAACTGCTGGGATGAATTTAAGTAGCCATCAGTAGTCAACACTGACTCAAAACAGGAGTACAGTTTATTCTATCTACTGCTTCTAAGTGACTTTTTTATTTTCATTCAAAAAAAAATCTGTCCAGATATTAAACTCTCCTGTTCCTTTTTTTTTTATCTTGATATTTTGTATTTTTTTATTTTTTTTTGTGTAGGATTTTCCCACATAGCTTCCATAGGTGGCAGCATTGATCTACATCTGGATTTTAAGTTAGGAAAGCTTGTAAGTTACAACAAATTGTATGAAATGGTTAAAAAAAAAACAACAACCCCAAAACAAAACAAACTGAAATGATTATCTAGAAATCTTGACATTAAATTGCTAAAGAAGCTTTCCATCAATTGCTTGTGAAAATGTGAGACAAAAGTATTGGAAAAAAGATATTAATGAAGTTGCTACCTATTCTGTATTGACACACAAAACAGGTATAAAATGATGTCTCATGCAAGTTTTTTCCCCCTCTCTCCCTCTTTGCCCTTGTATTATTTACATCTCTTTAGAAGGCCTATTTTATGTAAAAAAATATTCCTTTTCTGAAGCTTCTTTTTTCCTCTACAGCTAAGTCTATAGCTGCCTACTTTGTGCATATCAATTTGCTATTTACCTAGGTTATTGAGGAAAAGCAGTAAACATTTAAAAGCTGATTTAGAGGAAAGTTTCCAAACACAGGACAACAATATTATGCAATAAAACCTAACCTTGTTTGAAAACTAATTTCCAAGAAAAGTAATTCTTGATGTCAGCTGGGCTGAATTAATCATTCTGAAAAGCAACACAAACCAATTTGGACAAGAGAGTTTAAATTTAAATTACATTTACAAGTACTAGGGATCTGTAGGGTTTATAAGATCTAAAGTGAAGGGTTCCTAAAACCAGAAAGGTGAAGGCAGAGCTACTTGGGTTTTGCACATGAACCTAACCTAATTTTCATTTCCATTCTGTGTTTTGCAAGTATCCGCAAATCCCCTTTATCAGAGACAATAGTAGTGTGTACATACAAGGATTGAAAGTAAGCTGACTGTGCATGGAGAATATATATTCATTTGTTTACAAGCACATTTGGGATCAGATCTTCCATCACCAAGTGAGGCAGTTATTAAGCGAGTCATCAAGTGACCATTCCTAATTTTACAGCCTTTTTGTTGTGGACATTAAGTGAACCCTCACAGTTGTTAAAAAAATATGCAGTCATTAAGCAAATAGCAATCACATTACCCTGGGACACTGCAACCATAATTGTTAGTTGCCAAGAGCCCAAATCATGATCAAGGGTTCACAAGGATGCTGCATTGGTCATAAATGCGAGACTGGCCATGGGTCATTTTTTTCAGCACCATCATAACTTTGAACAGTCACTAAATGAAAGATTGTAAGATGAGGACTATCCATAATATCTGAAGCAGCTGCATGAACAAAATGTGACTTTCAGTTATTCAAAGAGAGATGCTTTGTCCATGCTCCCACCCATTGCTAAGCATCCCTTTTCAAGGCTTTGCTTGGTCCTAATCAGTAGGACTAAATCTGTCTGAAATATTAGATATAATTGTAATGATTTTTTTTAAAAAATATTAGAAGGTCAGTCTAAAGAGTCCTATTCATTTAAGACTGGGAAACAAGGGTTAATCAAAATCTTTTCCTACTGTGAATAGCCTATTTTGAGTTAAGAAAAATGCACAGGACATAAGTAATAATATTTTATTAATGAGCAAAATGGCAGAGATTAAAACAGAGTCATGCTCAGCTCAATTATTAGACTAGTGTGTAAATCTGCAGGATTCGTTCCCTTTTGGAACCATGATCAGAGGTCTGTGGTTGAAAGATCACAAGCTTCCTGTGAAATGCTGATGAACCTCTAGCTAATTTAGTGTTTTGGCTGGCAGCCAGTTTTCAAAAAAAATCTTCAGTATTTTAGTTGAAAAGCAAAAGCAACCTGTGATTAACTGTTTGATGGTTGCGGTCACTATCATCCTCTTTCCCCAAATTCAGAGCAGTTTGCTTCTCAGACTAAGCTAATTGATGGATTTTTTTTAAATCAAAGCTTGACAATATGGTCCACTCTCAGGAGGTCTGCTACTGAAGAACATGTCATTTTAGCATCCCCTGGGGGGGGGGGGGGCTAAGCAACTTCCAGATTAAGTTTCAGAATCCAGAAAGTGGTTTCACTAACTGCCATTGTTAATATAGCTGCTTGTTTTGGGAGAATATTCACTTAACCATGAACGTTCATTTGTCTTCTGGTTTCAAAGGTGATTTTGTTTCTTATAGAATTATGTGAGATGATAGGTACCAACAGAATCCTAGACATGCCGATTGAGAAGACAGCCCTGTTGTTTCCAGTGGAGCTTACAGGATTGCAACAAAACCCAAGAAGCCAAAAGAAATGCAGAAATTTTGCTGCAACTGAAAGTACTAGCTCTCAGGTCTTGATCACAGAAATTCAACCTTGGTGGATTCAGCCTGCCAGTTTTCCCCACAGCGATCTTAACGCGAAGAAGATTTTTCTGTTTCTAGGTTATTATAGATCTAGTGAATTTCGTTACATGTGACTTTGCTTTTGTTTATAATACTGACTTTGGGTTAACTTGATTTCTTTGACAGTCTTAAAGCAGTGGTGGGATTCAGCCAGTTCACACCAGTTTGGCAGAACCAGTAGCTAATTTTTTGTTGCCCAGGCCCAGAATGGACTTCCAGAAGCGGCATCCACGCAGAGAACCGGTTGTTCACATATTTGAATCCCACCATTGTCTTAAAACATTTACTCCTTCACTACTCCTTCACTCCCAAGTAATCTTTTCTGGAGTTGAGATTGTTGCAGACTGAGTTTAGATCCTGAAGAAGGAATGGATGACAGAAATCGGAATCAGTGCAATTGGCAAGATTTTATTGATTTTTTTTTAAAAAATGATTTTATTTATTTATTAAATGCCTACACCACCCGTATCCCCTAAGTGACTCTGGGTTGTTTACAACAACATAATAAAGCAATATGAACATAGAAATAAAAACACAGATTAAGAAGAATTAAGAACAAAGTTAAAACTTAGAGATAAAAGTGGAATTCAAAGTTAAAATTCCTTTTCTGGTATTGCTTAGGTTGCTTTTGGGAGAATAAATCAGGAAATAGCTGCATAGTTTAGACATCAGCAAGGGAAGATTAAGAATTAGTTGTATCGTTCAGTATCTAGCAGGACTTGGGTGCCAATTTAAAACAGAAGCAGGAAATAATAAAATCTAATTGGGCTCATAGCAGAAAGCTCTTTGCTGGTTTTGTGGCTTAATGGAGAAAACAAGGGAGAGACTAGCAGTTTTGATGCCTAATTAAAGTCCCAGTTCATTCATTGTCCAGAGGATACAGCTGCCTTTACCGGACCAGTAAAACCTTCCAGGCAGATGGGAGAGGCAGCAGCCAGATGTTTTCCTTGTCTTTTATATATATATATATATATATATATATATATATATATAATATATATATATATATATATATATATATATATATATATATTGGGGTACATTTAAAATATGAAACACTAAAGTATATATTTTCCCATATAGGGAGAGGGGACAGTTGGCAAGAGGTAGTGGGGTAAATCAACTTTCCCAATGATGAGTTTTATGAGCATATTTTTGCATCTTTATTTATTTAGTAAGTTTACACTGCTGCCCATCTTAACTCTAGGTAACTAACAAATAATAGAGACAAAAACTTTTTAAAAAACTGAAACAATACCAATGTCATGGTTCCAATAGATGAAACCCATCAAAAGAACTTCAAGGCAGAATCCTTCCTTAAAGAACATTTTATTCAGGACACAAAGTATTGGTACTACATAGTTGAACCCAAAAACTAAATTCCCTCCCCTGGATACAAAGTAACAAAGTGCAATTCCCACCCCCAATAAGCTGTCATAAATCACATTCTCCAATTAGCCTAAAACACAGGCTTTCCCCCCAGCTCCTCAGCCCACCAAAATGTTATCAGCTTGTCCTTGGGTTCCCACAAAGCAGTGTTATTATTATGGCTAGCTTAGCTCGAGCTTTCATTCCATATACACCCCCTGCACCTGTTTTCTAAATACCAGAAAAACGATGTTAAAAGAAAAGAGAAAATGGTTGCAATTTTCATCAGTTGTCAGAGCGGGAACATCCAATGTTTACAGCGTTGACAACCAACTTGAAAATGTTAGGGGAGTGAATTTGGATAGGATTTCTTATAAGGAATTACTTAGTTTGGTAGGGCAGAATTGGCAATTTAAGTCTTTAGTTGAGTTGAAACAAGAAAATATTGTACATTCTTGGTTTCAGTACAATCAATTGTTAGTGAGGTGGAGTATAGACCAAAAGGTTGGTATTACTTTAGAGGATGTGAATTTGGTAAAACAGATAAAAGATC